TATATGATAAAAATGTATATTGATATGGTCTATTTATATTAAATGCATTGAACCACAATGAATTTTCTGAATGATATAATTTCAAAGTCTCTGTATCAATAATTTATCTTACTTTTTGGTGTATATTGCCATATACTCTGTGCTATGTATTGAGCTCATAAGAGCTCATGCAGGTGTTTGTAAGTAATATATTTTTGTGTTTATCATTGTTCATTATGTCTGTTGTATCTTAGATGCCTCAAACTCCTCGGCCTGTGTCCAAGAGAAAGGCAATAGGCAGAGAAAGAAAAAAGCTGCACAGTTATGAACATTATGATGAAGAGAAGCAAGTTGAACATGTTGCTGCAGACCACTCCTACTCATTTCCTATGTGAGTAGCCACAAACATTTGAGATTTGTTATATTTTCTTGTTCTTTTAAAATATTTCTTGAATACACAGTACTGTTTTATACAAAAAATACTTATAAATATTTCCACACTTTTACACCAGACTTTAGACAAACTTTAATATGCCAACTATATGGGCAAATGAATACCACCATTCAATCTCCACTCAAACAACTCCACCCCCTTTCTGACATCTCTCCCACCCTCGCCTCTCCATATGTTTACCATGTGTCAATATGAGACAGCTACTTGCTAGATCACAATGACATGTAACAAACAGTTCTGTCATGGTGTTGTAAAGTCATCTCCATCCATATTATATGTGTGTTATTATTTTTAAAGCTGATGTTGTTTTCTCCCTGAAGTGTTTCAATGAGTGATAATATATCCATTTCTATTCATTGACATATATTCTTAATTACATAATATTTGTAAAACAAATATTATTTGTATGTGATGTCATTGTAATTTATTGCACTTTTCAGAAAAGACTGCAGTGAGAGGTGCGGATGGGAAACTGCATGGGATAATTTCTATCTAAAAGACAGCAATCCATCACCTTCCACACCCCTTTACAGTGAAGTGACAGATTCTGACAACTGTTCTGCCAATGCGTTTTATGTTGTTCTCCACAAAGTATTCCAGTATAATGCTGAAGATGAACTGGATGTGGTTGTTTGCAGACTGTTGACTGAGAGGACATATGCAAGATATCTTTCCCTTATGGATGAAGTTAAGCAAGACCTATCAGCCTTTGGACACTTACTGTTTTCTGGTGCCAATAAACATGGTTTGAGATTTGTTCAACCATATGATCATGAACCTAGCCAGGCCATGAGACTGAATTTGATCATCAATCAGTCATTGAAACCAACTTTATTTGTCCATGGCAAGGAAGTAAATACTAATCATGATTTTTGGACTGGTCTTCCACATATATATCATTCTGTGAAAGACATCCAGAAGTTACAGTCCAAACTGGAGCGATGGGACATTTGCATGGGAAACTTTGAGGCTCAGTATGTATCCATGGTGCCTCAGGTGTTGGAATTTACAAGAGTTCAGGTTGTGTCTCTGCTGTTGCCTACCGGGAAGATATCCATGCTATCAGAGGTGACATTCCATACGAGTCAACAATACGTTCAACTAATTGCTGTCTACTGGTTCAATCAAAGAGGAGGTGCAAACACTGTGATCTGTACAGAAATACTCTGCGGAAGAAGGATTCACGTCAAAAGGCCCACACTGTGTCAACATTTTCTCTGAAGAAAACACCCCACAGTACTATGAACAGAATTCATCTGGTTAAAAAAATTAATATGCTAAAACATGAGAAGAGATCAATTCAAGCAGAACTTGACCGACTTAAAAGACGGGTGCTTGATGTCATCAAAACAAAAGGACATGTGTTGAGCTACAGTGAAAACGAAGAACTCTTACAACTTGTGGAACAATACACAAGTGATGTCTTGAGAAGTTATCCAGACGAAACTTCCACTCAAAGGCTCTTCTGGGACCAGCAGCTAAAGTATGCAAAACTCAAAACAAATCCATAATGAGGTGGCACCCTATGATGGTAAAGTGGTGTTTGTATTTACGTAGCAAAAGTCAGAAAGCTTACAATGTGGCCAGAGATTCTGGATTTATTGCTCTTCCAAGTACCCATTACCTTATTTGACTATTCACATGTCTTGCCAGTACATGTGGCTTTCATGAAAGATTTACTGAACATCTGATTGAACAGGCTGAAAAATGTGGAATGTACAAGGAAGAATGGAAATCCTATGTTGGGATCCTCCAAGATGAAATTAAAGTATCAGAAGGACTGGTTTATGACAAGAAAAGCGGCGAGTTAGTGGGATATGTAGAGCTGGACAAAACCGGGAATGACATCAGTAATATGGAAAATCTGCTTATTGACAGTGATCCCAAACTTGCAAAATCCATTCTGGTTGTTATGGTGAGAGGCATCACTACATCTTTGAAGTATCCATTTTTTTCTGTCTGGCTACTGATGGAATAACTTCAGCGACTTTATACCCTCCAATATGGGAAACTGTGAGAATACTAACGATTGAATGCGGGTTGAAGCCATTGTTTATTACATGTGATGGGGCAACACCTAACAGGAAATTCTTAAAACTACATCATTGATGAAAATTTGCAGAATACTTTTGGACTTTAAACCCATATTCGCTTTCCCACCAGGAAACTGTATTTCATATCTGATGTCCCACACTTATTGAAAACAACAAGAAACTGTTTCTCAAATTCTGGAGCACATAATTTGGCACGAAATCTTTGGAAAAGTGGGAAATGCATTTCATGGACTCATATTATTCGCTTGTATGAAGATCATGTTGAAACACCATTATTTACCCTATGTCCCAAATTAACCAGACATCATGTACATTTATCATCATTTGCAAAGATGAAAGTAAACCTAGCTGCACAGGTACTCAGCAAAACAGTTGCAGATGCTTTGGAAGAACTTTATGGGGACCATGTGACAGAAACTGTGAAATGTATTAAGCCACATGAATCGTTTCTTCGACTGTCTTAACACTAGACATTTAGGGAGGCAAAGCGCTAAAGAGGAACCCAGACCTAGAACCATATAGGACACAAGATGACTCGAGATTTCACTATCTGACTGATGAGTTTCTACAATATTTCAATGACTGGGAAGTGGCAGTAATGAACAGGGCAGGACAATATACTCTACGTCAGCGAACAAATATGAAGCTGAGTCAACAGACATTGAATGGTCTCCATATCAGTGTGAACTCCATTGTAGAATGCACTAAGTTTCTTTTGCATGAAGGAGCAAGTTTTGTTTTGACCCACAGATTTAATCAAGATCCCCTTGAAGAACATTTCGCTCATTATAGACATAAAGGTGGATCATGAATCCGAACTGAAGTCTAATTCGTACTCTGTCCATTCACCCAACATTGCCGATAAATCGACATCGGATTCGTCCCAATACAGATAATCTGACATCGTGTTTGTTTGTATTTGGGTAGATATATAGCGATCGCAGTTGGTATATCACATAGATGAGTAAATCATCACTGCAAGTATAGAACATGTGACATGCACATACACATGACGTATCGCGTCGAGAAAATTTCTGACAGCTGCGTTATCCGGATGTTTTGGTAACTACGGAAAGCAATGCGCAAGCGCAAGATGGTCAAAGGTTAACCAATCGCGAGTCGCAGCCGGGGAACGTTATCACTCGCTATCAATGAACACGGTCAGCTTACGCTGCGCACATCGCCTAAGGCTTCCAATCCTGTGTATATACGTCTTTGCTATAATCTAATGAAACGATCACTTGGTGCTAAACGTCGTTACAGTAGTATATATCTATTTCTGTATGGTGGCAGTCAATACTTAAAAGTCTCAGTGATTCCAGAGTACAGGTTAAATTTGAAAGTCTCCCAGTCCAAATCACGTCTACATATGAGAATATGATACACAACACAGACATCAAAAGGTCAGAAACTCTACATTACTTCGGACAATGGACACTGGTAGGTGTGGGATAATTTGTTAACCCCGCCTGATAGTCTAACAAGATAAACTTGCTTACTTATACTTTGTAAACAAGACAAGACTTACTTCTTTGGTTAGTGTCTGGCAGTGGGTCGCTGGGCATGGCGGTGAAGTAGCGTTGTGGTTCTGTCTCCTCCTCCTCCTCTTCCATCACCTCCTTCCCCGACATACTTGAACACACACTGTCTGCTGTGTCCCCTATCTCCAGGTCCCAGTTCTCCTCAGGCTTGAAGTCACTATCTTTGTCACCTGAGTCGCCATTTGGTGACACCTGACACGGTGGGGACACCTGCTCCGGGTCACTAAAACTGTGCTCCACGGCACCAGAGCCCTTATCACTTAGCTGATGAAGATCGTCCGGCGACGTGGACTGACCGTCATTGTTGGTGTAATTCGTGGTGAGACTAAACTCCGCACTTGTACTCGTTTCCTGACTACTTGTGCTGGGTCCTACGGGACTGCTACTGCGACCCTCAGACCCAGACTCCTGAGGAGAGATGTCACTGTTGTCTTGGCAACTATGATACACAGAAGGGTCACTATGGCAACCATGGATAGCCATGGCCCGCATTTTATGATCTATTCCATCCACAGGGTCACTGATCCCCTCATCGATATCAGGGGAGTCACTTGTGGCATCATTGCACATGGAGGAGGGCTCGTCCTGTAGAGTGAGCTGCTGTCGACGCAGGAGACTCTGCTGGCTAGATTTGACGTAGTCTTTCACATCCTCTGTTGGTGCAGAAATAGAGGTTAGCGACATGATACATAGTTACATACATCCTTGATTTTCAAGAGTTCTGTATCCTAAGGATAAATGCAAATGACCCATTCACCATTTCAACTTTGGAGTTACTTGCGTGACATCATGCTATAAACAGCTGTCTAATCAAAGCACTGTTCTTTGACTATAACAAGTAGTGATATCACCAATACCCACTGTATCACATCACAAATACGACAAGGAGTGTCATCTGGCATAATTATCTTTATCTTCATACATTTATAACAGTGTCCTGATTGGACAAAATATGTTGAGGTTGTGTCACAGGAGCCAACTGCTCTGAATGTAGATACATGTCAAACTCACATTCAGATATGGGAATCGAGTAGGGTGTATTATGCATTAGTGAGATCAATTATGTGCTAAGATAGCAAAGGAAAGATGGACAAAGGCTACTGACTTGAATTCCGAAACAAAGTTTTGGTGGTGGTCCAGCATACTTACATTAGATACCAGTATATTTACAGAATTGGGATGCTGGGTAATAGTGGATGCATTATGAAGGCATGACACTGATCTTAATTTCCAAGCAGCCTCAGTATTGAAAAGATAAGAACTGGCGATAAATCTATGGAAACGTTTTTCTTTTCTGTCAAGTACTTAATCATTGAGGCTTTCTGTTTGTATTAGTCTCGGAAACACGAGTCTTTTTTTGAATATTTGGGTTAATATAATACTTGTATATACTGGTTAATGTATAAATTGAAAATCTGATCAAATAATATCGTTCTTGCTTAATACCTAAGAAAAGGTAAACAACAGAGGAAAGCCAATTCCAATAGAAATATGATTGTTAAATGGAAGCACTTCAGTACAATCAGAGAAGGTTTGTTGGTAGACTTGATAGATCATAAAACTGCTACCTTCTGGCCTTGGAATATTGGATATGAAACACCTAATTGTAATGACACCTATTTTATTTGGATCACTTTCAGTGGGTGAATTCACAAAGCTGCCAACAATATTCCAGGCAAATCTGAATCCAATCAAATCTGGACCAAACCCACAAGTCATTGATACTGGACAGTATGCAGGCAGATCGGGCATTGTTGCCACTGCATCTTGTTCCGACCAGATTCCATGACCTTTAAATGAGGCAGAATTTGTGGGGGCTTGTTATTTTGTCCTGATGGACAACCTGTGTCAGTAGCTGCTGGCTCCACAGTGTTGTTTCTGAATGTGCACCTGCTGCTTGTACTGACAGGTTTATGTTCCACTTACCTGGTGTGGGGATGGTGACGTTTATGCGAATTGTGTTCTGATGTCGGTCCAACAGCTGGTAGAATTTGGTCTTGAGGAATGGGGTGTACACATCTTCGTCATCCATTGGGTATTGGACGTACACCTGAACAACAAACACAGCAGTTCATTGCACCACATTACCACAGAGGTGAGGGAGGTACAGCGCTCCACATCATGGAATCTCAGCTTAATGCTGGCTGGCTGGCTGAGTATGGTTTTACGCCGTTTTTTAGCAATATTCCAGCAATATCACGGCAGGGGACACCAGAAATGGGCTTCACAAGTTGTACCCATGTGGGGAATCGAACCCGGGCCTTCGGCGTGACGAGCGAACGCTTTAACCACTAGGCTACCCCACCGCCCCTCAGCTTAATGCAGACGGAAAGACTGAAGTGTGGCAGATGCATGTGTTCATTGCTGAAGATTCTGTTGCATTTGATTGGCCAACCAGGCAAGTATGTTTGCATTCATCTTTTATTTATGTGTATATCTTGCATTATATTATAATGTACATGTAAGGGAGCATCCATTTAATCCCTCCCCTCCTCCGTCCTTCTGTAGATGACCTCACAATGATTTGTCCCATCATTTTATGGATTTTGTCGTGAATTCTATAGGGTTTTACTGAAACTGGAAATGGTACAAAAGTACTGATGTTCCTTCTGTGACTCACTCACCTTATTACTTTTGAAAAAGCCTTCAGCTTTTAGCGTTTTGTTTGGCACTGTGAGAGGTCTAAGGTCATTGTGGAATCTTTCCAAGACACATGTCATCTCCGTGGACTCAAGTTCCAATGTCTGTCAAACCAGACAGACACATATAGGACACAGCAAATAAAGAATAAAGCATAAGAAAACAGAATATATTCATGAAACACACACATACATATGATTTTCAGTGAGTAGAAGCATGTTTTTCTTAATGCCCCATCTGTGATATTTCACCATCACTATAAACTAACAAATTGTAACTGGGATATAATAGCACTAATTTCATCTTCAGAGAATGCCATAGAGAGAAAGTGTAAAGTATCTGACCTGTGTGACGAGGTTCTTGAACTCGCTGACCGTTTGGACATGGTAGGCGCGCACACTGACCGGAGAGTGGATCTCTCCCTTCTTGGTGTCCACAACATACACCTTCACTGTCACACCTTCAACACAGAAAACATCCAAACATTAACATCGGTTCATACACCTTCACTGTCACACCTTCAACACAGAAAACATCCAAACATTGACATCGGTTCATACACCTTCACTGTCACACCTTCAACACAGAAAACATCCAAACATTAACATCGGTTCATACACCTTCACTGTCACACCTTCAACACAGAAAACATCCAAACATTAACATCGGTTCATACACCTTCACTGTCACACCTTCAACACAGAAAACATCCAAACATTGACATCGGTTCATACACCTTCACTGTCACACCTTCAACACAGAAAACATCCAAACATTGACATCGGTTCATACACCTTCACTGTCACACCTTCAACACAGAAAACATCCAAACATTAACATCGGTTCATACACCTTCACTGTCACACCTTCAACACAGAAACATCCAAACATTAACATCGGTTCATACACCTTCACTGTCACACCTTCAACACACAACATCCAAACATTAACAGAAACAACACACGGTTCATACACCTTCACTGTCACACCTTCAACACAGATAAACATCCAAACATTAACATCAGGTTCATACACACAGAAGCTTCATAAGCAGACATGCATACACACTACACACCAGTGACATACTCACACCACACTTACACCCAGTGTATACACACACACACACATCAGTAAAATACCACACATACACACACCACTATACAACACACACACACCACACACAAGTAGAAATACCACATGCAGCAGAATAAACAACACACACATTGGCATACACACCAGTATAAACACCACACACATCAGCATACACACTACACACCAGTATAAATACCACACACCACATATACACACCAGTATAAATACCAACACCACAGTATCACACACCACACCAGTATAAATACACACCAGTATAAATACCACACACCACTATACACACCAGTATCACACCACCACACACACCACTATACACACAAGTAGTATCAACACCACACACTACACCACTATAAACACAAGTATAAATACACACACCAGTATAAATACCACACACACACTATACACACAAGTATCACCAGTATACCACACACATCAGCACACACGTATACACAAGTATCAACACCACAAACATACACACAAGTATAGACACCACACACTTGTATAAACACCACACTCAAGTATGCACACTACACACACCTGCATACACACAACCACACATGCCAACACACACACCAGCACACATACCTCCTGGCTTGTACTCTTGGAACTTCTGGTCAGGACGCTTGGTCTCCAGCAGGAGGTCGAAGTTGTAGCAGGACTTGACCCCTCCCAGCAGACAGCCCATGGAGCTGTCCTCCTCTCCATCAAATGACTTCTCCAGTGAGTCGGAGTACTCATCGTACTTCACCAGGCGGCAGTCCGACAGAGCTATTACATCCTCGATATCGAACGACTGGAGATAAATGTTTGGATGGTTGAGGTAGAGAACTAAACAGCAAGAAGGTGGTCTGACAGGTGATCTGACAGGTAACCAGTACAGGTAACCAGGACAGCAACCGTGGAGGCATACAACAAAGGATGTTTGTGTGACAAATGGTAGCCAACGGAAAGCCAAAAGATGAATATAAGTATGTAATTTTCTGACTAAAATTGATATTTTATACTTATCCTGACTCATGCTTTTTGCTTGTCTGCTTCTTCTTGCGAATGATAGTGGACGAAGGAGAGAGAGTGACAAGCATGTGCGATCAGGTGAAAAACAGCAAAGGGAGGCAACCTTGGGTGAGTGACTTACGTCCGCTTTTTTGAAGGGAGCTTCAAAAAGGGATTCAAGTGTTCCACTATCATTCGCAAGAGGGAGACAAGCAAAAAGTATGAGTCAGGAGAAGGAAAAATATAGTAGTTTTACATTGCACTATCTAATCTGAATAATTAGCAATCATCCTGTCATGGACCTTACAAGTTTGCCATAAAATGTTGACATATCTAAACGAGCAGTAGAGTAATTGTGTTTCATATTGAGTGGTGAAAATGTCATGTTATTGAAAAAACAACATAATATTGAGTTGTCTGTCTATTCAAGGTCCTATAATAACACAGTCATTGCCAGAATAGATGCCTTACTGTTTGCTGTTACATGTTGACAAATAAATAATCCCACAACATTTTTAGTGTGTGACATGACATATACCTTGTAGGCCATTTCCGTGGCTTGTTTCAGTGTCTTGTCCTTATGAACTTCAAACTTGGACTCCATCTTCTTCTTATTGCTTGGGTGGAAACAGTACAGCTTTATCTGGAACACATTCACAGTACATCAGGAACAAGACAGGTGGACTTAACCCCCCCGCCAGCCCCACCCCTCATCTTGCAGGTCTACTTACCAACCTACCCCCATCTTCACCTTGCAGGTGGACTAATCTATCTCTCTCACCTTGCAGGTGGACTTGTCTATCTCTCTCACCCCTTCACCTTGCAGGTGGACTAATCTATCTCTCTCACCCCTCACCTTGCAGGTGGACTAATCTATATCTCTCACCCCTCACCTTGCAGGTGGACTAATCTATGTCTCTCACCCCTCACCTTGCAGGTGGACTAATCTATCTCTCTCACCCCTCACCTTGCAGGTGGACTAATCTATCTCTCTCACCCCTCACCTTGCAGGTCTACTTGCCAACCTACTCCTATCCTCACCTTGCAGGTGGACTAATCTATCTCTCTCTCCATCACCTTGCCCTCAGCTTGCAGGTGGACTTGCCATCTCCCCCTACCCAAGTGGACTTGCCAACCTCACCTTGCAGGTGGACTAATCTATCTCTCTCACCCCTCACCTTGCAGGTGGACTTGTCTCCCTCCCCCTCACCTTGCAGGTGGACTAATCTATCTCTCACCCCTCACCTTGCAGGTGGACTTGCCAACCTACCCTCCTCACCTTGCAGGTGGACTAATCTATCTCTCTCACACCCTCACCTTGCAGGTGGACTAATCCAACTCCCCCATCCTCACCTTGCAGGTGGACTAGTCTATCTCTCTCACCCCTCACCTTGCAGGTGGACTAATCTATTCACCCCTCACCTTGCAGGTGGACTAATCTATCTCTCTCATCCCTCACCTTGCAGGTGGACTTGCCATCCTACTCCATCCTCACCTTGCAGGTGGACTACTCTGCCACCTTGCCTACCCCCAGCCTCCTCATCCTTGCAGGTAAACTAGTCTATCTTTACACCCCTCAACTTGCAAGTGGATTAATCTATCTCTCTCACCCCTCATCTTGCAGGTGGACTAATCTCTCTCTCTCACCCCTCACCTTGCAGGTGGACTAATCTACCTCTCTCACCCCTCAACTTGCAGGTGGACTAATCTATCTCTCTCACCCCTCACCTTGCAGGTCTACTTGCCAACCTACTCCCATCCTCACCTTGCAGGTGGACTAATCTACGTCTCTCATCCATCACCTTGCCTATCTACCCCTCACCTAGCCAGTAGACTTGCCTATCCCCCTCACCTTGCAAGTAGACTTGCCCATCTCCCACACCTTGCAGGTGGACTTGCCTATCACCCCTCACCTTGCAGGTAGACTTGCCCATCTCCCTCACCTTGCAGGTGGACTTGTCTATCTCCCTCACCTTGCAGGTGGACTTGCCTATCACCCCTCACCTTGCAGGTGGACTTGCCTATCTCCCCTCACCTTGCAGGTGGACTTGTCTATCTCCCTCACCTTACAGGTGGACTTGCCTATCACCCCTCACCTTGCAGGTGGACTTGTCTTTCTCCCCTCACCTTGCAGGTGGACTTGTCTATCTCCCTCACCTTACAGGTGGACTTGCCTATCACCCCTCACCTTGCAGGTAGACTTGTCTATCACCCCTCACCTTGCAGGTAGACTTGTCTATCTCCCTCTGTTTTCTCTCTGCCTCTTCCTGCTCCTGTTGTTTCTGCAGCGCCATCTTCAGGTGTTGTGGGAATTCATCTGGCACCATGCACTCTGTCAAGAGCAAGCAGAACAGTTAAATGGACACACGAGGCAACATCAATCATCAAAGTATTTGGAATGATCAGAAATACAATTTTATCCAATTTCAAGGTAAGGTACAGAATACAGTAAACTGTGGTTATGAGTGAAATGAAGGTCGTTAGTTGTATTTTTACTAAACTACACAGCATATGGCAGGGACTAACAAATTATATTTTGTTTTATCGGTCAGTTCGTTATAAATGTAGATTACTATTATATATACCAAGGTCTCTTTTACCCTTTCAATGAGACATCTACATGATACAAATTCTCACACCTGTATAAAAATCCCCATGAAAGAAGTCAAGTCTGTCTTCATGATTTCACTCCATATAAACCGATGTCGATAATTCATGGATAAAAAATGTAAACTGAACTGTAATTATTAGAAATCAGTTACAATCCATACCGGCATTTCTGAGCTTGTCAATCTGTCTGTACATGAGCATGTAGGCATTTGTAGAGCTACAACGGAACAGAGAACCATATATCATGCTAATATCATTCAGATTGTAGTCGAACAGGTGACAACCATGTTATATGATTACTGTTATATTTTAATTACAGTATCGGATATTAACTAACAGCTGTCAGTGATCAATAAATAGCTGTGTTGTTAAGGAATGAAGATTGCATGCATCCTGCTCAAAACGAACCATTATACATGAGTGAGTGAGTGAGTGTGTTCAGTTTTACGCCACACTCCGCAATATTCCAGCTATATGGCAGCGGTCTGTAAATAATCGAGTCTGGACCAGACAATCCAGTGATCAACAGCATAAGCATCGATCTGCGCAATTGGGAACTGATGACTTGTGTCAACCAAGTCAGCGAGCCTGACTACCTAATCCTGTTAGTCGCCTCTTACGACAAGCATGGGTTACTTGTTTGTTGCAAGACAATATTGTTTGCTTCAGTCTTACATGGTCATACGCTGGTGACTCCTCTTACCTAACTTGTTTGGCAGGTCCTTCACGGGTGCCATGAATACATGAATGATTGCTAATTCTTTAACGTCTAGCCAGCTATGCCAGGAAAAATGTTTGCATATTTCAAACACTGAACTTAACTCCAAGCAAGACGTACATGTAGCACAATATGTCATCAAACTCTAATCTGGTGCTATTTTGATCTGTAAGTTCCAATTGTACAATGAAGTAATGTTCTCTGATCAAGTTTCAGTTTCTCAATTTGTAAAATGCCTATACCAATAGCTGTAACAGCAAGCCAGACTGTACAAATGTGTAACATCTTCATTAACTGCATCAGATCAGCAACATCAAACACTACTCAATGTTTTATCCACAATAACTGAATAGAGTTGCTGTGCAGAGTTATGTCCCTTGGTCACACCAGAAAGCTATAATTGCAGGTTGGAAACCTTCCCATCCCAATTATATTTCCAGGCTTGCCAGATCCATACTTGAGCATTTGGGTATCACCAAGATGGCAAACATCTGAGATCTATGTCACTTCAAACATTCACCTACATTAATCTGGCATGAAATAACTGGAATACAGTGGCACTGAACCCAGCTGCCAGCTCTCTCACTCGCTGACTAGTGAGTTCAGTTTAACATGGCAATATTCCAGCTATATGATGGTGGCCTCTAAGTAATTGCCTCTGACCTGACCAGTGAAAGATTAGCAACAGGCAAGCTGGACCCAGTTTTCATTTGCCTATGATAACTGAAAGTGATGATTTTCAAAAGGAATATAACACATTACGAGGCAAGTATGAAACAAGAGGTCCATCACAACCATGTGATTATCTCAACCCAGAATCCCTGTATTCTGAGAGGTGTGAACTGAGAGAGTACCTTGCATAAGCAGAGGAATAGAAGCCCCTCCCCAGACTTGAACCTCCATAGGTCTTCCGGATATCATCATATGTTATCTGTAACAGGAGGAGCCACTCTATCAATACACATACATACAGGTCCATGTTGTTATGAAGGAAACATCTGACACAAACACTGGGCACTCAACAGCAATACAGGCAATACATTCACGTTTTGTCATCTCTGAAATTTTCATGAATCATTCATGTTTTTCAACAACCAAGCTTCCTGAAACATGACAAGCCTTCTTTGAAGCTTTGACGGATACTTAACTTCCATAAATATTATTTCATCTTTGCACAAATATCAAGAGCAAGTGGGATCTGTGAAGTGAGGTGTTTTGTGCTCAGTCAGCAATATTCCATGTAAATAGGCGCCCCCAAAACATATTGTGGCACCAGAAAGCATTAAGTGTATGGGACACAAAATAAGCCAAATCACACAACATGATCTGGTTCTACCGCCTTGCACAATGGACGTTGTGCTTATTCTGCTCCACAACTCTCATGAGAAACGGAGGCTAGTGGTAACTCACCCTTGTGACTTGCTGATCATTGAAACTATACCACTGACCATCCTTGAAAGACCTGTGAACAAAACAATATATTCACACCAGCAATATCTTTGAGAATTTTTAGAGAAAGGATTGTTATTCAATGTCATTTATACGGTATTCAACATAATGCTCGCAGTGATGTAGAAAGTTCACTGCATGAACAAAGGTATCGCTGCATGTATGGAAGCTAGAGGACATAAACTAATGTCTCATCACTCTATCAAAGTTGACGTGGTAGATATGTCAGACTAATTTGTCTTGTACAGAAACAGCTGAGGCCACTGATCTGACACCAGATACCTACATGTCATGATTGACATGAGACCATGCTACTAAAACAACCATGACCCAGACAATGTGCCACACAACCAGGTGCAACCAGAGCGCCAGCTACTGCCTCATGTGAGCGGACCCTGAGTCAGGATCGAGCCCTCGCTGTTCTGAACAGTGGCCTCTGGTCATGTCATTACATGTTGTTAGCCCACTTACTTGATATAACACATGTAATAGTGGCCTCCTGCGGCACCACAAAGTGAAAATCATTATCGAAAACAACTCATACTCATATGGGCCCTGGAAGAAAAACACAGGATTTGGTTGGTTGTTTAATATATAATTTTAACCCCCACAAACTGAAAATTGTCCGTCTATCTGTAAATAATTGAGTCAGGATCACACAATTCGGTGATTGACATATAACAACACCAGTCAAGTATTACATGCATAAGTTGCAGTGGAACCTATTTTAACCCCAAGGATCCAAAATGACAAGCATAGTCTGCAGTTGACCAATTATAACCCCATGGGTCCAAAATGACAAGCATAGTCTGCAGTTGACCAATTATAACCCCATGGGTCCAAAATGACAAGCATAGTCTGCAGTTGACCAATTATAACCCCATGGGTCCAGAATGACAAGCAGAAGTTGCAGGGCACCAATTACACCCCCAGTAGGACTAGTGAAAGCAGCTGTACTCCTCGGCTACAGACAGGAACTCACCTGACACACTGATTCCCTGGCATTCTTGTCATTGGTAGCAGCTTCACTGCTGAGGCTAGATGTGTCGCTGCTGGAGGAAGCCCCTGACAGCCCATTCTCCACCTCGATACCCTCGTCTATACCTGCACACACACCACATAGACATATGGATGAATATACTGTCATACAGGAAGCCCCTGACAGCCCGCTCTCCACCTCGATACCTTCATCTATACCTGCACACACACCACATAGACATATGGATGAATATACTGTCATACAGGAAGCCCCTGACAGCCCGTTCTCCACCTCGATACCCTCGTCTATACCTGCACACACACCACATAGACATATGGATGAATATACTGTCATACAGGAAGCCCCTGACAGCCCGCTCTCCATCTCGATACCCTCGTCTATACCTGCACACACACCACATAGACATATGGATGAATATACTGTCACACTTGTTTGCTGCCAGACAATATTGTTTGATTCAGTCTTACATGATCATACACTGGTGACTCCTCTTACCTAACTTTAATTTGACAGGTCTGTACCAATCCAGCATTAGAAACTGCTTGGCATTAATGAATTAAGATGAACTCAGAGAAGTTGTTACCATTTGTTTTGGAAATTATGGAGGAGCAGAAGGCCTTGGGCCACAATGACATTTAAATACTATGATCATCATGATGTAATGTAAAATGAAAGAGTTAAGATCTTCTTAGTTCAAAGATTGCTTTGTGGAGTGAGTGAGTTTGGATTTACGCCGGTTTTAGCATTATTCCAGAAATATCACGGTAGATGACACCAGAAATGGGCTTCACACATTGTACCAATGTGGGGAATCAAAACCTGATCTTCGGTGTGACGAGCGAACACTTTAACCACTAGGCTACCCCACTGCCCCCTGCTTTGAGGAACAACAGCCAGGAGGATATAGTCATAAAGTCTAAGGATCCCTTAAGATGTCATTTTTAACTCTAGGACTGTTATAAAATAAAAACCTTGTCTTTCATCTTCAATTCCAAACAGTGATCAGTAACAAGCTACAACCCAATAAAAAATGGTTTCGGAAGAGTCACAGAAATTATAAGAACCAATGAAACAAAACAGATTGTAGCATCCTCACTTAACCCTGGATACTCAGACAGAGACAAGAATGGCTACCTACCCTCATCACTGCTGTCTGTAGGACCATTACTAGTGACAGCGCTGGGTTTGGTAACCTTGTCAGCATCCTCCACCTTCTGCTCCTTGGTGGGAGACTCTGGGGTCACAAACCGGTTAAGGTTCAACACCTCTGCAAATGTCATCCTGGAAGTAGATAACCCCTTTAATAAAAGCTCCAACCATGGAATACACACTTGGCAAGTCAAGTTGGGGATGTATTTGGCAATATCTGGCATGCTGAGGGGGAGGGGAGGGGGGCGCATGGAGCTGTTCTGACCCCAGGCTAAGTTAACACAGACAGTCATAGCCTCATGTCTTATGATGTCAACTATTTCAATGTGATTAAATAAATGTTAAAAAAGCTACGGAATTTCAAACTTTTATGAACTTAAATTGATATATTTCACATCAAAAGATTTGTGGGCAAAATTTTGTTCATCATCTTAAATCACATAACCATTTCAGTTTGTAAACATTAACAACAAAGCAAGGCTGACCAGGTCCATTGGGAACAGGGATATTGGACTGTGCTGTCATGGTAACCAATGATGTCACAATGGTCTGCAAAGCACTGTGCAGCAATTTCACTTGACTTAGCAATTATGGCTCAAACTCACACTAGCAATATCTGAGTGGAAGCTATTCCTGGATGATATATAATATGGATAGAATGAAATTGGTTTGATGGTGCTTATATTACCAACTTGGAGAACCAATTAGAAATGGGTTGGAATGCTCAAACTCAGTTATCAATTTAGGCGTCGAGATGACAAACATGATCTGATGGTCAATGATACTCACCTGTCATTGAGTTTGATGCGGTGCATTGTTGCATAATCAAAGTCAAACCTTTTCAACTGTAGCGTTAGGAGGTAGGGAAATGACACAAACTTCAAACCCTAGAAAGAAAACATATCGTCTCAGTACAATGGCACCATATTACACATAATGTCAGGAGTTCTGGGGGGACGGACCACATTGTATAGGGCAGGAGGGGCCTGGATTTTACAAATATCAGGGTCCTGTTCGTCAGGGCTACAACTACTGTCAGCCAATGTTAAAGTATCGTAGTTGTGGGAGTCATAATCGACCATGACTCTGTATACTACACACTAGTCATTTCAACATTCATTTCAATATCAGTACTGAGGGTAATCTCTTTGGAGTGAATCATTGAATGACTTAAACTAATTCCTTATGAGACATGTATTAATAGTGATAGTTTAGAAATGATTACTGATTAAAACAGCATAGTGACATTATCATTCGTCATCAAGTACATGCATTGACCTATTTCTTACATTACTGCAGGAATCACATGATCTCCTGCCACCCTGTTGCACTAGCTCACCCAGTAGTCCATGGATAGACTGGGCTTCCACCCATTTCCATGTTGTTTTTCATGTCTAATGTCTGATGTTAAAATAGTCTTGTTTGGTTATAAATTACAACTTTGCAAGATATCAGTTGTTTTTTACTTGGATAAGGTATTCTGTACCTTCTTCACTTGCCTTAGTTTTAGATTAGTATACCATGTACAAATTTTCAGACATTTTCATATTGCAATGTTTTAAGAGGCAGAAATGTAGTTAACAATTAGTGACCCAAGAGAAATATAATACAGAAATTGAATAAGGAGAAATACCTTATGTGCATTGCACTTCTTGTTGCAACGTTCACAGAAATACTGATTGCTTCCATCCAGAATCTCAGGCTGAACAAAGGCATCTAATGCTTGTTCCTGGAATGAAATAAATGTTTACCCACATGTATTATCAGAAAGTAAGGTATATGTAGTGCTGGAGCAATAAATTGAATAATCACTCAAAACAAACCATGCTTGTTTCAGGGATTATCGATGGGCTCTGGAGACTAATTGATATTAATAAAAAATATAAAATGAAACATGAAAATGTAATTTTTTGAGTAAAATTGATATTTTATACTTATCCTGACTCATGCTTATTATGCTTGTCTCCTCCTTCTATGCGAATGATAGTGGAACACTTGAAATCCCTTGTAGTTCCCTTTAAAGCGGATGTAAAAGAACACTCACCCACGAGTTACCTCCCTTGCACACTTTCCCGCCAAAACAGTCATATGACTAACCATGCTTGTCACTCTCTCCGTAATATGCCCAACACCTGGATCTACCGTGATATCCGAAGTGTCATCTAGTGGGGAGGTTGGGAGGGCTTGACATCATGAGTCAGGATAAGTATAAAATATCAATTTTACTCAAAAAAATTACATATTTTTCCTTATCCTGACTCATGCTTATTATGCTTCCAGTATCCATCGGATAGGTGGTGGGTCATGCCACTTTTCCGGATTCATCGGCTGTCCTAGATACGTCCTGTATCTCCCCCCATGGGAACTAAAATACGGCACTTCCTGACGATCCTGTTCTTTCAACTTTCATATGTCAACTTGGGGGACCACTTCTTGTCAGACTTCTTTAAGACAAGTGAATCTACTAGATTCATGTGGATTTAGATATACTAGTCTTCCTCCCACTAGTTATCATCTAGCAACTCATGATATCTTCTTGTCATACAAGTTGCCACCCTTTCCATGTATGAGTATCTTCTATACAAGTACAGGGTCTAAATCCCTCATACTGGTCTATTCTTAGACATACGTATGGACTTTCAACCCAGACTCTTAGAGTGAAGGTTATGTGTAAGTCATGTGATAACAGGGGTGAGATTCTTAACTCAGCGCCTTTGTGGAACCGTTAATTGCTGTGCTACAATAAGTGGCCCAAATTGGTGAATGCCGGATACGTCTTCAGTAGCAATGTCTCTGAGGTAATGGTTGGCAAACACCGTATCCGACTTCCAAAAGCAGCCCTCCATTATAGATGAGATCGAGCAGTTTCCATGTAAAGCGAGTGTAGATGCCAGAGCTCTAACTTCATGTGGGTTGGATGCTTGTAGAGGTTGAAGTCCTGCTGCTTTGTAGGCCCTCAGTATAACGTCTCTCATCCATACTGATATTGTTGTTCTTGAGACCTCTGTAGATGTCTCTGTAGACAATGGGATGAAAAGGCGCTTAAATTTTCGTCTTCTTGTTTGCATCCGGTTCAAGTAAATTTTCAATGCTCTGACTGGACATAAGGATAAATCTTGCACGTCCTCCGGACCGAGAAACGTTGATAACGCTCGAATGTGGAACTGTCTATCTGGTTGACCAGGTAACTGGTTCTTTGCAACAAAATCCTATCTCAGTCCTAGATGTGCTGCAGCACGATGTCCTGTGTCGAATCTAGTTCGTCCAATATCCAACGCATGTATTTCCAACATTCGAGCTGCCGTGGCTAATGCGAGTAGAAATAGAGTTTTCTGAGTGAGTAACTCAAAAGTCGTTTGCTCTAAAGGCTCATAAGCATCACTGGTGAGATGTTGTAGTACTACATTGAGATCCCAAGCAGGTGCCTTAAATTTCTTTTTGCTGATCTTCCAGTTTAAAGGAGCGTAATAGAGTGAGTAGTTTTGGCACTTTGGTCAGCTTGATTCCTGTCTTCATTGTGATGACTGTACTGATCGCCGCCAGATATGTAGACAAGGTCGAACCTTTCAGTCTCCTCGTCTGTCGTAGGTGACACAAGTAATCCGCCACTTGAGGATGAGAAGCTTTCATTGCTGTGAAGCCTTTCTGCCGTGCGTAGAGTTCAAATCTCTGCCACTTGTTGTCATACAAGTTGCGAGTTGATCTGCGTAGAGCTAAAGTTACTACTTTTGCTGCTCTGGCGGAATATCCTCTTTTCTTCAAGCAAGTTTTGATACTGTCCATGCGTGAAGCTGAAACACTGACGAATTTCTGTGAGCTTGTTTGGTGTGCGGATGTACTAGTAGGTTTGGCCACTCTGGTAATTCCAGGGTTGGACTTCCGAGTTCTTGAATGAGGTCTGGAAACCATACTCTCACTGGCCAGTAGAGCGCGACCAAAATCAGTTGCAGGACTGTCGTCTGCTTGATTTTCTCGAGTACTTGAGGTAGTAGAGCTGTGGGCGGAAACGCGTATGCGTTTAGTCCTTCCCAAGGTATGTTCAGTGCGTCTACTGCCCATGCTTGCGGGTATGGTACTGGAGAGACGAATGTTTGTAACTGTTTGTTGAACCTTGTGGCAAACAGGTCCATGAGCGTGGATCCTAGTTCCTGTATGATGAGTTGAAATGCCTCTGGGTGGAGCATCCATTCTGTTGGGGATGGTTGCTGTGGACGAGATAGAGCATCTGCCAAGACATTCTTTGCTCCTGGGATATGGCACGCCTTTATCCAAATGTTTAGGCTGTCTACTAGTTCGAACAGTTGGAATATGAGCTGTAAGAGGCTTGGCGATCTTGTTGAGCCTTGTCTGTTGATGTAGTATGCCATTGTGGTGTTGTCCGTGTGAACTGTTAACATTCTGTTGACTAGAAGACTGGACCAATGTTGGAAGGCATTGATTAGAGCTTTCATTTCAATTGATTGATGTGCAGCTGTTGTTTCCTTCTCGACCACTTTCCTGCTGCTACCCTGTTTTCGAGGTGAGCTCCCCAACCTTGCAGAGACGCATCTACGTACAGATGTGTGTTGCAGACCAGCTCTTCTAAGTAGATTCCTCCACAAACATTCGATTTGTGAGTCCACCATAACAGGTACTGCTGTAGACTTTCTGGTAAGGTTATCAGTTCTGTACTGTTCAGGTGAGTATTCAGGAACCTCTGTAGTGGACGTAACTGTAGTCTTCCTCTGCAAGTTAGATCCTGCACTGAGGTAAGTAAACCCAGAAGACGTTGCCATGTTTGGAGCTTTAGCAGAGAGATGACTGCTTGCGGGATCATGGCTTGTATCTTGATCCAACGATCTTCTGGGACCATGATGCAATTGTCTGTGGTGATGAATCTTATTCCCAGAAACCCTTAGGTCCTGTTTCGGTTCCAACTCCGATTTCAACAGGTTCACTAACCATCCTAACTGTGTGAGCAGCCTGATGGTGAAGTCCAATTGTAGTTTGAGTTGATTGGCTTCTTGATGAGCTTGTATTCCATCGTCCAGGTAGAAGGCACTGCGTAGGCCTCGATGATGCAGAAAGGCGACAATGGGCTTGGTCACTCGTGTAAACAACCATGGGTCCGAAGATATTCCAAACGGCAGAACGCTCCACTGGAAGTGTCGACCTTTGAACAGGAATCGTAGATACTTTCTTGAGTCCTGATGTATAGGAATGTGCAGGTAAGCATCCTGAAGGTCTATGCTGGCCAAATAGTCTGCTGGACGAATTAGTTGTCGCCCAAGTTCCCACAACCATCCACCAGGGCGATGGAGGAGAGAGCGACAAGCATGGTTAGTCATATGACTGTTTTGGCGGGAAATTATGCAAGGGAGGTAACTCGTGGGTGAGTGTTCTTTTACATCTGCTTAAAAGGGAACTACAAGGGATTTCAAGTGTTCCACTATCATTCGCATAGGAGGAAGATACAAGCATAATAAGCATGAGTCAGGAGAAGGAAACATTTATACTTTAGTAAGTAGGTTTCTCAATGTTATATTTGTTATATAAAGACATGTATCTCGACTCATAAAACTGCAATGTAAACAACATACTTGCGTGTGTGTATCAACAGGAAGTATCCTTGATCATCCTGATGATGGTATCAATCTGGGCCTGGTTTGTTGGCACAATGTTATGATTGTGTCACATTACTGCCCACATTAGTTTTGTGGTGGGGCTTACGATTACAATCAAATGTTAATTACTGAGCTCCGATTATCGATCTGCATATTGCAAGTGATCACCAGCACTAGTAACATGAAACAAATATTAGTAGCACTACCCTAAGCATTATCTCTTCCAAGTGACACTTACCACACTTCCATGCACCTGGTTGGATCCAAATGGCCGGATAACAAGGGGAATGTCTAGGTAGGCGTCGGTGCGAGCACTCTCATAGCCACACTGAAATCAAGCACTTTGTCTATCACAGCATGCAGAGAAGGGTGCCCGAAACCAGTCATCGAACGAAGTGGGAAAGTCAAGAGTATGTTGTTCTAATGATCCTAATGTCAACAGCTACAGATACAGAGATATACCCAGATTCAAGTCCAAACAGAACTCCCATATTTTTACCACTGCTTTGACCAACAACAAATGTTGAAGTCCAACATGTAGATAATCTAGAACGGAGACAACGGTAAACAGTTCTATTGCAGTCAGTGAGACTGTTTCCTCATTCAATGGCAATACAATCAGTTTCAAATGTGCAACAATGCCACAAATCTGAATTTCTCAGAAATAAACTAACTACTAATATACTGCGCACTAGTTTTATTCAGCTCCATGTGTCCACACTTGACTTTGTTGGTAAGTTTTTGTTGGTCGGTAAAACTGAATCCAAAACAAAATTTCAGGCATGTGTCTTGTAACTATAAACTATATGCTGAATACTTCATGTTGACTGACTCACTTCAAGACATTTGACGTAGTCCTTGAGCTTGCCCTGGTAGAGCTGATTGATGAGGTGGGCCTGGTCTGTGTTCTTCCACGCATGTTCCAGGGCGTCAAACATCACTCGACACAGCTCCTGTACATCATGCTGCTGCCACACTGCAACATCAAACATGTTGAAACCTCAAACACAAGATCCATACACACCAAACCAGTCAAACCTCTGCACACATCAAACCAGTCAAACCTCTGCACACATGAAACCAGTCAAACCAGTCAAACTTCCGCACACATGAAACCAATCAAACCTCTGCACACATCAAACCAGTCAAAACTGCACACATCAAACCAGTCAAACCTCCGCACACATCAAACCAGTCAAACCTCTGCACACATGAAACCACCAGTCAAACCTCTGCACATATCAAACCAGTCAAACCTCTGCACACATCAAACCACCAGTCAAACCTCTGCACACATCAAACCAGTCAAACCTCTGCACACATCAAAAAACCAGTCAAACCTCTGCACACATCAAACCAGTCAAACTCTCTGCACATCAAACAATCAAAACTGCACACATCAAACCAGTCAAACCTCTGCACACATCAAACCAGTCAAACCTCCGCACATCAAACCAGTCAAACCTCTGCACACATCAAACCAGTCAAACCTCTGCACACATCAAACCAGTCAAACCTCTGCACACATCAAACCAGTCAAACCTCTGCACACATCAAACCAGTCAAACCTCTGCACAAACCAGTCAAACCACCAGTCAAACCTCTGCACACATCAAACCAGTCAAACCTCTGCACACATCAAACCAGTCAAACCTCTGCACACAAATCAAACATCACCAGTCAAACCTCTGCACACATCTGCAATCAAACCAGTCAAACCTCTGCACACATCAAACCAGTCAAACCTCTGCACACATCAAACCAGTCAAACCTCTGCACACATCAAACCAGTCAAACCTCTGCACACATGAATCAACCAGTCAAACCTCTGCACACATCAAACCAGTCAAACCTCTGCACACATCAAACCAGTCAAACCTCTGCACACATCAAACCAGTCAAACATCTCTGTAACACACATCAAACCAGTCAAACCTCTGCACATCAAACCAGTCAAACCTCTGCACACATCAAACCAGTCAAACCTCGCGACACATCAAAGCAATCACTCTGCACACATCAAACCAGTCAAACCTCCACACATCAAACCAGTCAAACCTCTGTACACATCAAATCCAGTCAAACCCTCTGCACACATCAAGCCAGTCAAACCTCTGCACACATCAAACCAGTCAAACCTCTGCACATATCAAACCAGTCAAACCTCCGCACACATCAAACCAGTCAAACCTCTGCACACATCAAACCAGTCAAACCTCTGCACACACCAAACCAGTCAAACCTCTGCACACATCAAACCAGTCAAACCTCTGCACACATCAAACCAGTCAAACCTCTGCACACATCAAACCAGTCAAACCTCTGCACACATCAAACCAGTCAAACCTCTGCACACATCAAACCAGTCAAACCTCTGCACACATTTACCAGTCAAACCTCTGCACACATCAAACCAGTCAAACCTCTGCACACATCAAACCAGGTCAAACCTCTGCACACATCAAACCAGTCAAACCTCTGCAAACATCCAAACCAGTCAAACCTCTGCACACATCAAACCAGTCAAACCTCTGCACACATCAAACCAGTCAAACCTCGCACACATCAAACCAGTCAAACCTCTGCACACATCAAACCAGTCAAACCTCTGCACACATCAAACCAGTCAAACCTCTGCACACAGATCAAGCTCACAGCCCACCATCAAACCAGTCCAAACATCCAAACCAGTCTGCAATCAAACCAGTCAAACCTCCGCACACATCAAACCTCTGCACACATCAAACCAGTCAAACCTCCGCACACATCAAACCAGTCAAACCTCCGCACACATCAAACAAGTCAAACCTCCGCACACATCAAACAAGTCAAACCTCTGCACACATCGAACCAGTCAAGTCTCTGCATATATCAAACCAGTCAAACCTTCATACACATCAAACCAGTCAAGTCTCTGCATATATCAAACCAGTCAAACCTCCGCACACATCAAACAGTGAAATTCCCACACACACTGACACAGTGAAATCTCCATACATTACATATCTACCACCATACACACCACTACTAACTAACCTTCACTGCTGTCCCAGCCAAAGCTGCGGGTCAGGTCAGTTGTCTCCACTGACTTCTTCTTACTTGTCTACAAAACAAAAATAGTCAGGTCAGCATTTAGTGATAGACTATGGATCATATCACTTGAAACAGTACAAGTAAGATTCCTGACGAGTTTCAGATGAAGTTAGATCTACATCACTAATATATCCATTCAAATGACCTGATCTAACATTTCAATCCGTGTCCAGTAGACCATTCAGACTAGCTGATTCATATCTCTAATGTCAGAGTTTCACAGAACATATTAGAAAGTTACAACAACAACAACAGCAAGCAAAAGGAATTTGAGTGAGTGAGTGAGTGAGTTTAATTTCACGCTGCTTTCAGCAATATTCCAGCAATATCACGGTGGGGGCCACCAGAAATATGTGGAATCAAACCCAGGTCTTCAGAGTGACGTGCGAACCTACACGCTACCCCACTGCCCGGTAGGAGCTGAAGGGCACTCTACCCGAGGAAAGCTACTGTTGGCAAGTTGTCATTACCTGCAGTTGTAGAAACAGATTCTGGAGCTGAAAGGGGATGCTCTTTGCAACTTCCTCATGTAAATGGAAACAAAATGACAGGCAAAAAAAACATTGCTTACACAGCCAATCAAAAGCATGGAATCACCTGCAATATAATTACTCAGTTATGACAGAGGCACAACAAAAGCCCTAGAAACTCTCAGGAGGGACCATTCCCCTACACGCTGTCACGTTCACGTTGCCTGACTTGCTACCTGTGCATAATGAACAGTACAACAGGAATATTTACTACCACAGAGAACTGTATCCTTACACGTCGATTTTGTTACCACAACACCTGAGGTGTGTGGAGGGTAAAGGTAGTGTTCTCACCTGTGTCAGATTTAATTAGAGATGAGGTGTACGAGTAGGAGGCGTCTGTGTGTGACGCGGAGGAGTAGTTGGTGTAGGTGTCGCCGCTTGTGTACGAAGTGCTGCTGGAGGCCTGACTCTCATAGCCAGATGTGGACGTCTCACTCTGATAAAATACACCCTAGGGTCATACATAGGTAGCTGATTCTTTGATGAGAGTCCTCCTTGGGGTACATATAAGCATTAAAATGTCCATTTATAATCCCTACGACAGTTATAACTATATCTTGAATAAAATATTTACAAAACAAAAACAACGTTTTTGTCTTGTCGACCACCCCTACGGAACCCAGAATGGACCCATCCACCAAGAACAGGTAACTCTAGGCGCTAACCTCGTACCTCACTTTCCATGCTGAAGAAACACAGACAGAATGTGGGGAGGTGGGTGGCAGTACCCCAAGGAGGACTCTCATCAAAGAATCAGCAACCCCATCAGGTTTGTTCGATTCTTTATCATGAGGGCGGTGGGGTAGCCTAGTGGTTAAAGCGTTGGCTCGTCACGCCAAAGACCCGGGTTCGATTCCCCACATGGGTACAATGTGTGAAGCCCATTTCTGGTGTCCCCCGCCGTGATGTTGCTGGAATATTGCTAAAAGCGGCGTAAAGCCAAAACTCAGTCAGTCAGTCTTTATCATGAGAGATCCAGCTTGGGGTACATATAAGAATAAGACAGACTCGTAAGGTCAAGAGTCCTGGGAGTGGCATTCTGTCTGATAAACTAAGCCCCCGACAAGTGGAATTTCCCAACTATAAAAAGAAGAAAGAACAGCTCACTTACCTGGCCACGTGACCTCTTCAGCCAATCAGGCAAGGGCGTGGTCCAGGGTCAGGGTTTATCTATTCTGCTCATATGCAAATGAAGCAGTGAAATACGCATGTAGTAAACGATAGTGCCCCACCCCCATCCTCGGTTTTATAACTACCTAGGGAGGAAGTGACATAAAATCCCATGAAACCACAGCCAAGCCTAGATTTCTAAGGAAAAAATGTGCAATATTGACATACGGGGACAACAAACCATCACCATAAAAACCCAACACCAAGTAAGGGTAAAAGGGAAGGAAAGTTGTCTGCAAACCTGCCACCAGTAAAATACAGATAAAATCGTAAGCTCAATCGGCTAGAGAGTTACGACTGCCCACTTGAGAGAACTGACTGACCAAACCGAGCAGGCTCACTGGAGTGTCTGTCAAGTTGATAATGCCGGATGAACGTACTCGGCCAGCTCCAAATAGCCGCGGAGCAGATCTCCTCAATAGGCAGAGCCGCAGCATAAGCCTTAGATGTGGCTACTGCTCTAACCGAATGAGCTTTTAACCCAGTAAGTGGTGTTAACCCTTTCTGTGTATGGCTCGTACAAAAGGCAGAGACAAGCCACCTAGATATGGTCTGCTTGTTCACCGGAAGACCAGCCTTACCTCCACTGTAACAGCAAAACAATTGGTTATCTCTCCGGATAGCCAATGTACGCTTGATATAAGCCTTGAGGGTCTTATGCACATCTAAGACGTGAGCGCGCCGAAGAGAGGTACCCAGTGGAGAAGGTTGAGTGAAAGCTGGAAGCTCAATAGGCGCCGTGACATGAAAGGTGCTGTCTCTCTTAGGACGGTAAGTATCCGGCAACCTAATGCTAACTCTGTCTTTATGGAAAACAGTTAGCTGGAGGCGGCCGACATTGCATGAATGTCGCCTACTCACCTGCCGGAGGTTACCGCCACAAGAAAAGCTGCCTTCCATGTCAACAGCTGGAAGGAAAGAGCCGACAGATCGTAAAAGAGAGGACCAGACAGCCAATCAAGGACAATTGACAAGTCCCACGGGGGACTGATCCATCAATCAGCCGGACGGATCCTGTCCACGCCTGCTAAAAACACTGCACAAGAGGGTGCTGCCCCAAGAGTGCAGTTGGTCACCTAACCAGCTTGGCTGTTAGTGCTCCTTGCACCTCTTTGGTCAGCTCAAAGCTGGTTTCCATGTAATTCTCAGGTTTCTGGCTCAGCTTCCTGTACTATTACCCTTTCGACCTGCTATCCCAGAACGAAGTGCCGCACCGAATGCCAGGATTCAGTGGCAATTCCTGCATCAGTTGCAGACACAATTCTGGCTTTGCGGAGGGATTCGACAAACGTTCAATATGAGGATGGATGGGCCTGTTATAAGCGCTGGTGTGTCGGCAGGGGGATTCTCAATCCATTTTCTGCAGATCAAGTCACGGTGCTTGAGTTCCTCCAGTCTCGAACAGTTCGAGGTTACTCAACGCCTATTTCAGCGTCTCATCCTCAGACAGCATGCCACACCACATCCGCAGTCACCGCCATGTTGCCTAGCAACAATCTGAGAAAATCTATCATGTGATGCGTGGTATTCCTGCTCAACTGCTGGCCTAACGCCCGGAGCAGCCAGTCGTCGAGGTACGGGTGACAAAACCTGCCCTCCGACTTAGCTGGGATTAACATGATTTTGGTGAACACCCTAGGTATCGCTGAGTGCAGTGTCTCCATCCTGAAAGACGGCACTTCTATCATTTTGTTCAGCCCTGTTAGATTGAGTATGGGTCTGAACCCTCTGTCCTTCTTGGTCACTATGAAATACGTGGAGTAAAATCCCTCGTTTTCGTGACCTTCCGGAACCACCTCGATGGCTGCCTTGTCCAGTAGACTCTGGACCTCGGCACGGAGAATGTCCACCTTATCCCACGAGGTGGGCACAGGAGTGTGACGCACCCCGGTGAATGGCACCAGACCTCGCTTCCACTGTGGCATATGGCCCCACAAGACATCGTAGACACGAATCATGACTATCCTTAGTGGGGATAGATGACTTGCACATAGCTCAGGTTTTAAACTGCAAAGGAGCGGCAAGTCTGACACAGGGAACATATAATTCTAACAACAATAATACGCATGGGCTATTAATTAATATAAATAAATATTAACCATACTAGCATATAGACTGTACTTAAATAAGAACTAGTGCATGCTAGCCCTACTCCATAACATGAAGCCCGTAAACAATATATATAACGTGAATACAACTATTTAGTGCAAATCACGTAATATAAATAATCTACCTGAAAAGAGATAAAATATCTGCAAATTCAGTAAGACAACACACAAACCTACACAAGAAAGCTACAGGCTAACCTGCAAAAGCAAGTGTGTATGTGCCTCCTGTCCGCCATCTTGACAAGCACATGGCAAGCCGACAGGGACTAAGACGCAAGTTACAACAAATGATGAATGAAAACTTTCAAAAACATTTATCAGTTATCGCCCATGCAAATAAGAAATAACCATACATACAGTAGATTTTTCTAAAGAACTCATCTTGAAATCGTAAGGGAAGAAATTCAACTTGTAACACAGGCTGATGGACAGCATGGAAAGAACGACAGCATGGAAAGTGAGGTACGAGGTTAGCACCTAGAGTTACCTGTTCTTGGCGGATTGGTCCATTCTGGGTTCCGTAGGGGTGGTCGAACAAGACAAAAACGTTTTTGTTTTGTAAATATTTTATTTAAATTATAGCTACAACTGTCATAGGGAATAAAAATGGAGGACATTTTAATGCTTATATGTACCCCAAGGAGGATCTCACATAAAAAAGAATCAGGCTGGTGAAACCACTTACTAATGCATTTTTTACTGTAATACACACCATTTTTATATCTGAATGAAACAAATAAATATTCAGTGAAGAATATCTCTCAGAACTCTCATCCTGTTATCCAAAATGGTGGTGTGGAGGTTATAGGCATGTACACCTTGTTAATACTAACAGCAAATGAATCTAAATCATTCAAACTAACCTCAATCTTTTTGGGTGTAACTCCTTCCTTCTCATGGACAGTGAAGGAGTGCTTTCGTATGCTTGGAAGTACGATTGATCCGAGTGCTTTATCAGGTACGTCATGGAACAACGTACGTCACTGAGAATCACCTGGATGCAACATTAGACAGCATGTCAAGTACAGGTACACCTGGGCACTGCAGTAAGGTAGGGGTGGAAAACTGTAAATATTTAACACCTGTATGATAAATGAACATAATCTACTGTCTAAATGTACAGGTACACCTAGGCACTGCAGTATGGTAGGGGTGGAAAACTGTAAATATTTAACACCTGTATGACAAATGAACATAATCTACTGTCTAAATGTACAGGTACACCTGGGCACTGCAGTATGGTAGGGGTGGAAAACTGTAAATATTTAACACCTGTATGATAAATGAACATAATCTACTGTCTAAATGTACAGGTACACCTGGGCACTGCAGTAAGGTAGAGGTGGAAAACTGTAAATATTTAACACCTGTATGACATATGAACATAATCTACTGTCTAAATGTACAGGTACACCTGGGCACTGCAGTATGGTAGGGGTGGAAAACTGTAAATATTTAACACCTGTATGATAAAATGAACATAATCTACTGTCTAAATGTACAGGTACACCTACATGGTAGGGGTGGAAAACTGTAAATATTTAACACCCTAAATGAACATAATCTACTGTCTAAATGCAGTACTGCAGTATGGTAGGGTGGAAAACTGTAAATATTTAACACCTGTATGATATATGAACATAATCTACTGTCTAAATGTACAGGTACACCTGGGCACTGCAGTATGGTAGGGGTGGAAAACTGTAAATATTTAACACCTGTATGATAAATGAACATAATCTACTGTCTAAATGTACAGGTACACCTGGGCACTGCAGTATGGTAGGGGTGGAAAACTGTAAATATTTAACACCTGTATGATAAATGAACATAATCTACTGTCTAAATGTACAGGTACACCTGGGCACTGCAGTATGGTAGGGGTGGAAAACTGTAAATATTTAACACCTGTATGATAAATGAACATAATCTACTGTCTAAATGTACAGGTACACCTGGGCACTGCAGTATGGTAGGGGTGGAAAACTGTAAATATTTAACACCTGTATGATAAATGAACATAATCTACTGTCTAAATGTACAGGTACACCTGGGCACTGCAGTATGGTAGGGGTGGAAAACTGTAAATATTTAACACCTGTATGACATATGAACATAATCTACTGTCTAAATGTACAGGTACACCTGGGCACTGCAGTATGGTAGGGGTGGAAAACTGTAAAAATTTAACACCTGTATGATAAATGAACATAATCTACTGTCTAAATGTACAGGTACACCTGGGCACTGCAGTATGGTAGGGGTGGAAAACTGTAAATATTTAACACCTGTATGATAAATGAACATAATCTACTGTCTAAATGTACAGTTAGGATTGACACAAAAGAAAAGTCAATTTCTCGGTTGATCCTTATCCAAAATAGTAGAGTATGGATCTGTGTTACAAGAATGATCTGAATCAGGACTGCTGTCATGTTAGGTTTATCCAAGTATCAACAAATTTGTGGCTAAATCTGACAATCTAACACCAAATATTTTCATAGTCTTCAACTACCACAAGGGTTCGAAGTGCCATGATTAGTTGATGGAACATTGCTGAGTACAGCATAACTGACTGAGTTTTGGTTTAACGCCACTTTTAGCAATATTCCAGCAACATCACGGCCGGGGACACCAGATATGGGCTTCACACATTGTACCCATGTGGGGATTGAACACGCTTTAACCACAGGCCACCCCACTGCCCGAGTACAGCATAAAACAACTACAAAAAAGTTGATAATAACACATTTGTTCTTCCGGACTATAGTTTTACAAATAAAATGAAAAATAACAACAGTGTAATCATGTTTGGAGCAAGTTTTGCTTTGTGCTTCTTTTCAGCAAACTTCCGGCAATATTACAGCTGGGACACCAGAAGTAAGTTTCATACTTCGTACTAATCGGGGCACCTTCCTCTTTGGACAGGCCATAAACTCCATTAGGCAACCCGAATGACTTCTAGGTCGGGAGATGTCAGCATAGCATGTATACTCACATCATCATCGCCTCCTCCATGCGAAATTTCGTAGTGAATGAGGACAGTGTCAGGGTCGTAGTTACAGATTTTCGTTATCTCCTTCAGTGCGTCCCTCACGGAAGTGGATGCTGGGAGGTTCAGGCTGTGTTTGCATCCAGGCTTGGTGACGCTCACCAGGTCCGTGATGATACAGAGCACCTTCTCCTCATCAGCAACACACACACCCTGAAAGCACCACACACCTAATTTGTAGATAAACACTTGTAAACAGTGAGTGAGTGAGTTTAGTTTTACTCTGCACTCAGCAACACTTCAGCTATATGGTGGCTGTCTGTAAATAATCGAGTCTGTACCAGACAATCCAGCGATTGACAGCATGAATATCAATCTATTGAATTGGGATACGATGACATGTGTCAACCAAGTCAGTGAGCCTGACCACCCGACCCTGTTTGTCACTCTTAAACAGCCTCACACACGGCATTCAGAAAGTACCTGTGAAACTTCAGGGATTGTGAAATATTGCTTAATTTGCATGCCATGCCACAGTAAACATTCAAATGGCACAGATGAAATATTTTCAATGTGACCTGAATAACTAATAATACTCACCATCATTCATTTTTAATGGAAAATGCAATACATTTTACCAACCTAAACTGATTAAAACCTATTTTTGCACCCCATCAAACTATTTATCAGTGGCACTCTCAATCATGTGCCAGTGAACGTATGCCAGTGAAAGTAACAGGAAATCTAGTCCGTTTCACAGTCCCTGACCCATACTATTTCCCTACAGTTTAGCCCTCCCTGCAATGCCAAAGCCCTAAATGAAGCAAGTCTAGATTTCCCCAGGTTCAGGCCTGTATCTCTGGCCTCCATGGGGCTCCTTTTCAATTTACATGGGTTCATTTGTTACAATCAAAATTCTATATATTCAGAGACTAAGTGTTAGTCTACAGGATATCCTGTTTTGTCAGTGTATGTGTCCAGGACAAAGGAAGCTGGGCTATTCTTGCAGTAATAACAGTGTCCAGGATATCCTGATGTTTACACATTTATTCAACAATAATTGAAATGACATAATTCTTGTGATGATTATTTGGAGACTTGGCCACAGTTATTCTTCACAAAGGCACACCTATCTTATCTGTCTGATGCCCAATCACACCCTTCGACAAAAATTGCATTTCTGTCCCTGCACGTCCCTGTGGACTTCCTGTTTTACCACAGTGTAGGTAGATAAACAACTTTGCTGTTGGCTAATACAAAATTTCTGTGCATCACACCTACATTTGTAACAGTGAGTGAGTTTAGTTTTATGCCGCACTCAGCAATATTCCTGCTATATGGCATAGACAGTTGAGTAGGCTGTTTGTATCCAGATGGACTTCACAATAAATACTATGACAAGTCTGATGCAGTACATCATAATAAGCCAGTGTCCAAAACAAACTTGATTTTGCAGATCAGTGAGTGAGTGAGTGAGTGAATTTAGCAATTTTCCAGCAATATCACGGTAGGGAAACACCAGAAATGGGCTTCACACATTGTACCTATGTAAGGAATCAAACCCGGGTCGTCGGCATGGCGAGTAGGCTACCCCACCACACCTGCAGCTCAGCAAGCAATGTTCGTTGATATATGAGTCAGTGAATTGGGTTTTATACCGGCTTTAGCAGTATTCCATCAATATCACAGTGGGGGACACCAGGAATGGGCTTCACACATTGTACCCATGAGGGGAATTGAACCCAGGCCTTCAGTGTGACGAGCGAACGCTTTAACCTCTAGACTACCCCATTGATACAATAATAATGTGTCCATTTATATAGCGCCAAATTACACACTAGGTATGCTCATAGCGCTAACAATCAAGGCACAGCACATCATTACCCTGGATAACCGAAGCTGCCTGTTAGGCACTAGAAGGTTATAGTCACATGACTTATTCCGCCAGATATATGATTAGGATTTAATGAAGGAGCTACTGGATTGTATATCTGACCAATTGTGCTTTAATCAGAAACTACTAGCCTTATATCCGTAATATTACCAAAGTAAATAGCTGTACATGAATGGGGTTTTCTTGGTTCATTGAAAAATGCTTCTGCAGAACTTTTCTTGATATTTAAATTACTTTTCAGTGGTCTAAAAATATTTATTGGTTCAACAGAAGACATACTTGTGTTTGTACAAATAATTTATCTTTGAATGAAATTTGCAAACAAAGATATGATACCATCAGTGGCACATAACCTGGTTACATATTTTATGTAATATGACACATAATCCTACATCTACCACCATGAAAATATTCTGAGATTGTACTTTAGGCATGTGAAATATCATGTTATTGTTCAGATGGAATAGGTTATGGGGATATTCCAGGTTAGATGGACTTCTAGCTACCTTTGGTAAGTCAACTCGATGGGTCTGGGAATGTCTAAATCATGTGTGACATGATTAAGCACAGCTAAGCAACTGAAAGTTGGAAACCAGGCAGTATACAAATCAATTATTATTATTAATCATGATGATGAACACTCTACCACCAATATCCTAAGACATGTAAAACTATTTCCATTTGTGTATTTATGTTTTGTTTACAATAGTTGGATGGGTCGAGGCGAGGCGAGGTGAGGTGTAATTGGGTTTAACGTCGTGCTTGAGAATATTTCGCTCATATGACAACGTGCATGCGTGTGTATGTGTATGTGCGGCTGCTGATACTAGCCCAGACTGAAGCTGGTTTTATAGCGCTAGCCCACTGAGATACCATGCAGCAGTGAAGCATGAATACAAGCGAGTCCGGTAATTCCACGCGTCCGGTAATTCTGCGCAGCTGCAATAGCATACTTCCGTATCGAAGGTAAACATCATCTGCTACCACATTTACGCTTGAAATCGGGACATTTCTACAAGGAACTGGCTTTTGATCACTAAAGGTAAGTAAATAACAGTAACTGACAGATAAATTGACAGTTTTATGAAAATTCGTTTTCTTCCGACTTTACAAACCTTTTTCTTCATTATTCACTATTGGATTTAATATGAAACATTTTTCCTTACATTGATGAAGTGATTTTTGAAAATAATCTGGCCCTAATAAGCTTCCATACTTCGGAGATCCAGCTGGATGTTATGCGCATCAGTTGCTGCGCAGAATTACCGGACAGCAAGCGATGTCGTCAGAACGCCGGTAAGGTCAACCGTATGGCATAATGCAATGTTAGAATGTTATGGCCGTCAATAACACTTATATTTCTAGGTAAACATGATGCATACCAGCATGCTTAGTCACGTAAACCACAAAAAATCAGAGACTTTAGTTGCTGTGTTGCGATCAATGTGCTTAGGTGCGCGGAATTACCGGACGGCATTGTACCCCACTCAGACACATTATACTGACTCCGAGCCGACCAGACCTTGTTGTACCCATGAATGCCGGGCGCCAGGCAGGGATCAACAAGTACCATATTGTAACCTCTTTTGGTATGACGCGGTCGGGGATCGAACCCGCGACCTTCCGCTCTCCAGGCGGACACTCTAACCACTACACCACGGAGGCAGTCCTATCAAAGCCTTGAAAATCAAGATATAGAAGTGGTCTTCAGCAACCCATGTTTGTCGCAAGAGGTTGTCTTGTCATTAACCAGCTTGCTGACTTGATTGACATGTCATTGTATCCCAATCCCAATGGATCAATGCTCATGCTGTTCATCACTGAATTGTCTGGTCCTGACTCGATTATTTACAGAACGCTGCCATATAAAGAATTCACTATACTGTCATTTGACGAGTAAAACTAAATTGTCTTGCACCTCACTGTCGCAGTTGTTATATATATATATACAAAACAATGTGTAAAGTCCGATGGAAGGCTTCCATTACGCCTGTCTGTTGTTGTTTTTAGGCCAAGTGGATCTGTTTACAAACAGGTGAACGCTAGTGATATTGTGACACAAATGTGGTCACTAGAGCAGAAACTTTTCTGGTAGAGTAAGACTTTGAGGTTATTGACTTTGGTTTGCAAACATCACTTCAAAGTGTAAACTTACTGCCCCTTAATAATTCTATGATGTTATTACCAATTTACCATGACCGACCACATCTTACAATTAATTACCTACATGTTTAATGAAGTGTTCCAATACCAATACATACTGAACGCATATGAAAGAAAAAGTTGTAATAAATACAGATGACGCTGGATCTATAAATATTCTGAGTCTGATTACTGCAGTGAGGTGCAATCTTCAACTTCCCCTTTGAAAACATAAAAAACACGATGACTATCTGTCTGAGGTAGAGCAAACTGGGTCACCGAAAGCATTTCCGGAACTACTCAAATATGACTACACCCACCGATATTCTCGAAACATATTGTCAAGGGTATAACATGACAGAAATGATCACTTGCACTTAAAGTGTGATATTTTGTTTTTCGTGAACTGAACACCAAATAGACTTACCTCCATTGGCACAATTTGAGTCAGGTCGTTTTCACCAGTTACCATTTCTCGTAAGACCTACTTCTGAAACATGATTAACCAAATCTTTAACTTATCCCACAGACCCATAAGCACTCATTTTATGTTGATCTTTTAGCGTACAGTTTCGAAACAGTGCATTACACAGAACACTATGGCCGATAGAACTCTCGCAAAGTCACAACCGGAAGTTTCGACATCGATAACGTCCTTCACCTTCCCTCTTTCATCGCGTGGATTCCGTCAAGATGAGGTGGGTGCAAGAGGCTGTTACAAATCTGCTAACATCCTAAGTATTCTGACGTCTTACTAACTAGACTTTAAGATATATTGTTCCAAATGATAAGGATATTCGGACTACACACATATATATATGTCAGATATATTTGTGATATATACTTTTTCCACTTTAAGTTACAGCATTTTTGCGCTGATTGTGAAATGTATGAGAGCCACGATTTACACGCATTCAATGCTTAGTTTCACAGGCGTTACTTTCTGATTATATACATTGACAACGAGGGTACGTGTAATATGAAGTTGTACTCTTAATTCTGTGCACATTGTGTATATGTAAATCTAGATAGTTTGGAAAACGTCATGCCGAACCAACAGTTGCACAATACCAGAAAATGTTGTTGCTAGTATCCTAATAGTAAAATGTGTGGAAAGACTTCCGTCCGTATCCCCCCTTAATTTTCATTCTAGTAAAATCATATCACCTGAATTTATATTCCTCATCTGATAAGGATCAGTTTTGACATGTTTCTTTAATTGTATCTCATCATACTGAAAGACTTCTAAAAATGCCACTTAAAGAATTTTTTCCCCATCGTTAAAATTTAGGGGGGATACCGACGGAAGTCTTGCCCACACGATACCGACATTCCTCAAATCTCTTGACTTTCCTTACTTTCGGAAACAGTATAATGAGTGATCCCACTCGATTCATTGCCATTTGTAGCTTATTTAATTAACTTCTTACATTCATCCTTCGTATCATACTTATAGTAAGCATGTTTTTGTTACAGTATCTATATTATATTGTTTGGTTTTTTGCAGTAAAATCAACAGAGACAACTTGCGCGAGTCCATTAGCACTGTGATCCAGAAGTCGACAAGCAAGAAACGCAAGTTTCTGGAATCTGTGGAACTTCAGATTTCCTTGAAGAATTATGATCCCCAAAAGGATAAGCGTTTTTCTGGAACCATCAAGTATGCTTTGGGCAACATGTTTGCCTTGACCCACTTTTGATATCTGGCTCTTGATAGAATCATTGATAATGGCTGCATCTTAGATGGGTTATTCTGCAAAGAATTTCAAAATAGTGATAATTTTCCATTACAACGAAAGCTACGTAACATTAACCCTGTTTTGGTATGTCTTTTGTAACTTAAATCTATTTCAGAATTACCATTGGTTGATTGATAGCTCTAAATGGGAATTAACCATTACAAATCTTGCTTTAGATGTAAGAGCCAGATGTTACTGCTGGGTAGTTGGGTACACCACCCAACGGGACCTCCACCCAGGGTCTTTAAATAACTGGGTAGGCTCCAGAGCTTGCCTCTGATGCCGACCAATCATTGTCCTTAGCTTCACTTGTGTGCCTGTTCCTTGGTCAACCATGCAGGTAGAGCCTCGTTATGTATGATTTCATTATTGGCATACTTTTGACCAAAGCAAGGTTCTATTAAGTGTCCAGTCAAATCTTGAAAAAAATTAAGAATTAGAGTACTGGGTTGTTAATTTTGTAAGAAAACCTATCTTTCTGTGTTTTAAATTCAGTGTTTACTACAATCTGGGCCTTGCTGAAGAAAACATAACTCTTTAAGTGCAAACCATGCTTGCTAATAATATTAAATGCTGAAAAAACTACACCAAACAGTATGCATTGACAAATGTGGGTCCATGTTGGTGCTTTGTTTACGTATCTAGTGTTTGTCCTGGTATGAATAAACGACTGATGAATGTTTCACGTGTTAATCAAGTTAAATATATTCCCTTTGTCTACTGATGTTCAACTTCATGGCTACTCTTTCTATGTGAAGGCTCCGTCATGTGCCCCGTCCCAAGATGAAGGTCTGCATTCTTGGTGACCAGGTCCATGTTGATCAAGCAAAGGCAAATGATGTACCTTGCATGGACTCAGACCAGCTGAAGAAGCTGAACAAGGACAAGAAACTTGTCAAAAAATTGGGTAGGTGATCCATCAATCATGGCAGATTTTGACACTGAGCTAAAATATGTGGGGATGTCATTAATTGAAAAGTTAAAGTTTGACATCGACCATCAGGATGTATGTGAATTTAATGTATTTATAAGTAACATAAATGGTTTATATTTTTAAAAATATCCTGTCTGGACCTGTTGGATAAAGAACAATTCTGTGCCAAGTGCACACCATTGCCTCCCACAGCAATAGGTAAACTGTATGTAACATGTTAGAGAGGTTTAATGGTTGCAAGGTTTTAACTTGACTTGCGAAACTGGTGTTCCTCGATAACCCAACAATAGATTCACGTATTGAAATATGCTGTATTGTATTGCAAGTATTTATGCAGAAGTCAGGGGACTGATTGTTGCATTTACATAGTAAAGTGATTCGAGGTCTCACTAGATTCAAACAAAAGGGAGCAAACCAAGGACCGCATGTAGATACTGCGGTTGCTCCATACCAATAGTGTCCATAGTAAATAATTTTATTTGAGATTAATCTGAAAGGATTGTATTGCCAAGTCACTAACCTCCATAATGTTTGATGTATCCAAAACACACAAGACACATACTGAGCTGTCCTCTTATATCCTGATTTGAATGTTTCAGCAAAGAAGTATGATGCTTTCCTGGCCTCAGAGTCTCTGATCAAGCAGATCCCCAGGATCTTGGGACCAGGTCTGAACAAGGCTGGCAAGTTCCCCTCGGCTCTCACTCACCAGGAGTCCATCCCCTCCAAACTGGACGAAGTCCGCTCCACTATCAAGTTCCAGATGAAGAAGGTAGCCTATCCATTGCATTAGGTTATTGTGGCAAGGAGACATATAAAATTTGCTGAAATGGTTGCATCCCTTGGGCATGTCAGAAACAAATGACCGGTTCAAATCCCATTTGGTTCTGAGTTGTCAGCATTGATTTCATCAAAGGGGCAAATGTTTGATGCCTGTAGCACTACAGACTGCCCTCCATGTTAATATGACATGTCTGGGTGTAACTGGAGTACTGTACATAGTGATCAGCTTCACTTATTCACTTGGTTGGAATGAATGGTGTGTAAATATGCTGCCATAATTTAACAAGTAGTTAACCAGATCGTATGCTGAGAATTTTTTGTCCAGTATGTGGTAATATTTCTTTTCATTTCCTGTCACCAATGATGTGAACATTTTGTGCATGTATTACCTTACTTTACATGTGGGGAACTTTTGTTTCTGAGGTTACTTGGAAATGAAAATGAATGCTTTATAAAGCGATGACATGAATAGATTGCTTTTGATTCCGTCAACCCTATAAGTATGAGGGTAGACAGTTATCAGAAATGTATTTTGGTGTGTTGACCAGGATGTTTCACAAAAGTGTCTGAACGAGAAATAGAAATAGCATTTCGAGTTGATTATTCATGTCTGGTGTTTCAAACTATGAAAGTTTTCTCCTCTTTGCCCAGGTTCTATGTTTGTCCGTGTGTATTGGCCACATCAACATGTCAGAAGAAGAGTTGTACACCAACATCAACTTGGCTGTAAACTTCCTGGTGTCCCTCCTCAAGAAGAACTGGCAGAACGTCCGAGCTCTCTACATCAAGAGCACCATGGGTCCCTCATTCAGAATCTACTAAACATGTACTTGACTTTATTTTAATAAAGTCGCTGAGAGGGGAAAACTGTTTGCTTTTCTTTTTGACAAGATTACAATAGAATTGACCGATTAAAGAAGGAACTGTGGGTGGCCATGTTTGTTTTGGAGCTGCAATGAGCGATGCAGAGTTCTCCTGTGGGCATGATAGAACCAAATGGTTGTTGGTTGAATCCTCTTTTGCCAGGATAGTTTTAATTTTGTCAACACACCTGTGCAGGTGAGTGTCACAAGTGGTAAAAGATGCTGGCCTTGGATATTTCAACTTTCCTCAAAACAATTAGCTGACCAGCTGAGCTACATCTGTAATACTGTTTTGAGTTGGTGATTGATGACTGGCTCTGAGTGTGGGTTCGAAGCCACTGACTTGCCCACAAATATTGTCATGACAGTAACAGATTCTTGCTAAATTGTTGCATATTGTACAGTTGTTTCATTCCCAGAAAAAGGAATGTTATTTGTGCTGATTTCAACTGCATGTTCTGCAAACAAGAACTAGGAATACATGTACCCAGAGCTTATGAACTGCTGCTACTTCAAAACATTTGAGGACACTCAGTTCTTTCTTACTATGGGACAAGATGGACTTCCAAAAGCCTTTGGCACTCGTGTTGTCTTCATGTGTCATCACTAATCCTACCAGGTGATGTTGGTGCATGTATGTCATCGTTTAGGTTGTTATGTAGCGTGGCTGTTGCTTCATTGCCAGCTTTTGTTTCTACAATCCATGAACGTTTAAATATGAGAACATAGAAGTGTAAGGAGTATTTTCTGAATCCTGTAAAGGGAGCTATTTAGGTCATTTGATGATAGTAATGATGCTTCTCTTTTCTGGTTCCTGCAATCACTTATTTTAACCTTTGTAAATGATACCAGACAAATCGAAGCCAGCAGCTCAACAAGTACAGTCAAATCCCGATCAGTCGAATCGCTGGGGACCAAGTAATAAATTCGACTTATCGATGTATTCGAGAAATAGGTATGTCTATGAGGGTAGAAAAAAAGATGATCCAGTCCTAGGGGTCTTCTCGTTTATCCACCACCTATTGTTCTAGGTGGACAAATAGGACAATAGATGTCCCTGAAATTTTGTTCCCTGTGAAATAAGATCCCCTTGAATGGTAGTAAAAAAAGTCTTTCTACATTTTTTTATTTCAACAATACATACAATATCAAAATTAACAATACATTCAATATCTATGATCTCAATAGCCTGTTAAATGGGATACTGCATCCCAATATGCATATACATCCATATGGCCAGCCAAGAATTGCTGTTTGATGTTACATAATCTGTTTGTTAAATTGACATATTTTTTTCTTCGAGGAGGTTTGGCACCTCCTCTTAATTGCATACATGATGCGTAAGATTGTTCTTTTTCAAGAATTCAATAATCTTGAAGATATTGGGATTTCTAAACAGGAAAGCTTCCTAGCCAGCCCTCAACATGATTAGTAGTGCGGGGGCCTTCGGTGGCGAAGTGGTTCCACATGGTCCTGCCATGGTCACACTCACTGGATCCAATACAATGTTCTTAGAGGCCGCTACATTCTTCACATTTTCAAAGAAACGCGTTCATATGTCTGCTTTTATCTGGGAGCAGACCATACACCAAACATCTTATTTTGATGCAGTGTGAACACACCAGGGCACTTGTCAAAAAATCACTAGTCGCAGGTTCTCTGCCCAAGGTCAGGAACTCGAAAACCAGGAAGTTGTCATATGCATCGGGAAGATCTATTGCTGATCTAAGGTGTATAGAGCAGGACGTACACTGCAAAGATGGGCACTTCTTTTTGATTCATCACTCTCAGACCTGGATCTGTTGTAGTATTTTAGTATTTAATAGTTTGCAAGCATTTATGTTAATATTTACCTGATAACTCCTCCTGATAAAGAGATGGAAAATCTTTTCGACAAGGTCCTTAAGATTGGCCTTCTCATTCTGATGGTTATGCTGGTCTCTGTAGGACGAGAATATTATCTTTGGTGTTAATCATGGCATACAATGGACAGATGTTCCTGCTGTTTGGAAATGTCCTGGGACTGGACAAATAGCCATTGACCTTAAAGAACCTCTCGAAAAGTGTCATAAAAAACACAAATAGCATAATGACACAATTTAATTAGTTTGTTCATAGCAAATCAGCTAATTAGTGCAGGACCAAATTTCAGAGTGTAAACACCCGGTCAACTAATCCCAAATCAAATGATGAGAATGAACCCAGTCCAACTATAACATGATTTCCCTATCACTAATAGGGGATCATCCAGGATTAGCACAGACAGTGATTTCCGGACTTCACTTCTGTCAATGGCGACAGGTGGATCAGTTTGCTACACCAATCAACTTCTCAGTTATGCATAATATCGAAATATCGTGTGATGAGACGAATTAGAGTGTAACAGGAAATCAAATGATGGCATTCGGACCCGACAGGACTCATAATATTCGGCATTCGACTCATCGGGATTTGACTGTATTTGAAGATCAAAGTTAAGATTTAGGACTAGAATTGTGAACGTCAAAATAGATCACAAGTGGCAAGATATATGGAAGGAAGGGTAAAACCATTATCAAATTTGTTTTGTTAGACTATACAATCACAAGAGTAAAGATTCTTCACTCCAAGAAAAGACAACTTAAATCATTCATCACTGATGGAATATATTGATACTTCAGAAAATAATACATAAAAAAGTTGTAAATAACACTCTGAAAACATGAAAACATAATACTGTCTGTAAATGCTGTCTGGTATTCTGATAGTAATGTTAAACTGATTTCTCACATCTGAGGTATTGACATTTTTCTGATTGCAAATGCCCCACATCTGGCACTGTCAACGTGACTTCTTAATGCAGTCTGGCCAAATTGAGTTTTAAGGGATCACTAATATTCGGGTGTGAAATTTGGGTTGGATTCTGCCGAGTGTCAGTTGTTCCACACTGACCCCTGTATTCGCCTGTCCCGCAATGCATCATCAGGTGTCGCAGCAAGTACGTCCCCAGTCACTGATGCATATACCTGAAATACAGAGACTCTAGTATTACCACAACACACTGGCCGCAGACAATGGCCCTTTATCCCAGGCTTATTAACTTGGTGTGCCTACAGCTCCCCAGGGAGTTGAGATTGAAAAATGTGATGTGCCATTGAGATTCACATCCAAGGGAAAAACAAAGCGCTTTGAGCATGCAAGTAGATGGGATGGATATATAAATACACATTTATAATAATGTATATTTTAGGAATTTGTGTTTCGTAAACAACAGACCAGTGCTACTAGTCCCTACAAATACCTGAAGAAGACGTGGCACCAACACATTGCAAAGGAAACAGAACTTGTGATCCATAAAAGTATTCTGTCTTAAATTTTGTAGCAGCTCACCATTTTCCTATCTGTATAGTGTGTGTTGGCCAAGGGTTGAGAGTTCATGACATAGGCAGATCCTGGTCGAGAGGACTGGAACCGGATGTAGTCTGTTGCTGGGAAACCACTTTCTACTGGGGACACCTGTGACGGAATAAGACAACATCTTCATATTCTTGGATTATATTCATCAAGGCTTTGGTTGGTTTGTTGTTTAGCGCCACAGTCAGCAATATTCCTGCTATATAGCAGCGTTCTGTAAATAATCAGGACCAGACAATCCAGTGATGAACAGCATGAGCATCGATCCATTGGGATTGGGATACAATGACATGTCAATCAAGTCAGCAAGCTAGTTAATGACAAGACAACCTCTTATGACAAACATGGGTTGCTGAAGACCACTTCTATCTCTTGATTTTCAAGGCTTTGATAGGACCGCCTCTGTGGTGTAGTGGTTAGAGTGTCCGCCCGGAGAGGGGAAGGTCGTGGGTTTGATCCCCGACCGCGTCATACCAAAAGACGTTAAAATATGGTACTTGTTGGACCCTGCCTGGCGCTCGGCATTAAAGGGTACAAGGACTGGTCGGCTCGGAGTCAGTATAATGTGTCTGAGTGGGGTATTCATGCTTCACTGCGGCATGGTATCTCAGTGGGCTAGCACTATAAAACCAGCTTCAGTCTGGGCTAGTATAAGCAGCGACACATACACACGCATGCACGTCGTCATATGAGCGAAATATTCTCAAGCACGACGTTAAACCCAATTTCACCTCACCTCACCAAGGCTTTGATAGATTGGTTTGTTGGATGGACATAACCCATGAAACTTTCATTGATAACATAGCTATTGTTTGTAAACAATGGTTTAGGCAACTCCTTGCGAACGTCATGCAGTGCCAAAAGATAAAGCACCAGTAAAATATCCACTGTAAGCCCAGTAGTTCCTGGGATTATATTAGGAAATCTAGCAGAATGTGTTTCATGAATCGCTGAATTCTCTGGGTACCACAGTTATAGCTGTTTTAACGTCTGCATATAGAGGAACTGTCACGATTTGGGCAACATGTCTAACCTTCTTGATGACATCCATTCTAATCAGGTCTGACTTCGGTGTTCTCTTACACCCAGCAGCTGAAACAGAAAACAAATAAATGCAACCCTCACCCACCACTGTGGTAACATGAGCCAGTGCTAGCAGGATCTACGCCTAAATCAGATTGGCTATGATTAACTACTGGGGTAAACTGGACAGTTATCAAACCTGCCAAAACAATTTTATAGAAAGTTTTTGAGATGCGCAAAGACCTGTTGTTTAGGGTTTGAATACTGGAGCCCAGCAAATACTGCTTGCCTAAACATTTTATCTATGTGTCAGAACATCCCCATCACCAGACTGTCGCGTGATGCAGTATGAACTTACCAGCAAAGAACGGCCATATGGAATCTAGTGCTGATGCAAAGTCTATTGCAGTTCTGTAAGGAGAAAGGCAAAACTATCAGTTTGAATTATCTCAATGTGATCAGATCTTTTTCAGCGTAACACTATTATGGTTGGAGCTCTGTACCCACAAGATCTCACTGTCATCAGATCAGGGCTAGTTTGGTGTTCACTTTCCACAAACTGCCTGATAACTCACCTGCCCTGGTTGTCCGTTGTATACAGATCTGATAACTCACCTGCCCTGGTTGTCCGTTGTATACAGATCTGATAACTCAACTGCCCTGGTTGTCTGTTGTATACAGATCTGATAACTCACCTGCCCTGGTTGTCCGTTGTATACAGATCTGATAACTCACCTGCCCTGGTTGTCTGTTGTATACAGATCTGATAACTCACCTGCCCTGGTTGTCCGTTGTATACAGATCTGATAACTCACCTGCCCTGGTTGTCTGTTGTATACAGATCTGATAACTCACCTGCCCTGGTTGTCTGTTGTATACAGATCTGATAACTCACCTGCCCTGGTTGTCTGTTGTATACAGATCTGATAACGCACCTGCCCTGGTTGTCTGTTGTATACATATCTGATAACGCACCTGCCCTGGTTGTCCGTTGTATACAGATCTGATAACTCCCCTCCCCTGGTTGTCCGTTGTATACAGATCTGATAACTCCCCTCCCCTGGTTGTCCCTTGTATACAGATCTGATAACTCCCCTCCCCTGGTTGTCCGTTGTATACAGATCTGATAACTCACCTGCCCTGGTTGTCTGTTGTATACAGATCAGGTTCATATGGCATCAGTTTCAGAATGACCTTGCCATGACCTTGGAATGAAGCACAGTGAAGGGGTGTCCATAGTGTTCCCCTGTTGAGGATGTTGATGTCTGCTCTGAAGGTTGTAAACAAACTCAATTACCAGCTGTGTACTCTAGCATGAACTACTACACTGCCTATAAAAACATTGTTTATTTCCCCATACGTTATCTGAAACAGTAACGGAAGAAATGTCTGATCAGAATCTGGTCTCATCTCTTGTCACTCCAGCTTCTGCTGGTCATATATTTGTAAATGGGTACCCAGGAGGATTAGATGTAGATAATATAACATTACCTTCTAGTGCCTAACACTGGGTGCATAGGTGGTATACTTCAAAGGGAGCTGATAATGAAAATAGTGGAAGTGTTTAGTTTTATACTGCACTCAGCAATCTTCCAGCTGTATGGTAGCGATCTGTAAATAATTAAGTCTGGACTAGACAATCCAGTGATCAACAGTGAGTTAGGTTACAATGACATGAGCGTGGATCTATGTAGTTAGGTTACAATGACATGTCTGCGAGCCTGACCACCCGATCCTGTAGTTAGGTTACAATGACATGTCTGCGAGCCTGACCACCCGATCCTGTAGTTAGGTTACAATGACATGTCTGCGAGCCTGACCACCCGATCCTGTAGTTAGGTTACAATGACATGTCAGCGAGCCTGACCACCCGATCCTGTAGTTAGGTTACAATGACATGTCTGCGAGCCTGACCACCCGATCCTGTAGTTAGGTTACAATGACATGTCAGCGAGCCTGACGACCCGATCCTGTAGTTAGGTTACAATGACATGTCTGCAGCCTGACCACCCAATCCTGTAGTTAGGTTACAATGACATGTCAGCGAGCCTGACGACCCGATCCTGTAGTTAGGTTACAATGACATGTCTGCGAGCCTGACCACCCGATCCTGTAGTTAGGTTACAGTGACATGTCTGCGAGCCTGACCACCCAATCCTGTAGTTAGGTTACAATGACATATCAGCGAGCCTGACGACCCGATCCTGTAGTTAGGTTACAATGACATGTCAGCGAGTCTGACCACCCGATCCTGTAGTTAGGTTACAATGACATGTCTGCCAGCCTGACGACCCGATCCTGTAGTTAGGTTACAATGACATGTCTGCGAGCCTGACCACCCAATCCTGTAGTTAGGTTACAATGACATGTCTGCGAGTCTGACCACCCGATCCTGTAGTTAGGTTACAATGACATGTCTGCGAGCCTGACCACCCAATCCTGTAGTTAGGTTACAATGACATGTCTGCGAGCCTGACGACCCGATCCTGTAGTTAGGTTACAATGACATGTCAGCGAGCCTGACCACCCAATCCTGTAGTTAGGTTACAATGACATGTCTGCAAGCCTGACGACCCGATCCTGTTAGTCACCTCTTACGACAAGCATGGGTTACTGAAGATTATTCTAACCCGGATCTTCACGGGTGGATAATGAAAATAGAGTGCCCACTAATCCACTGACTTGGGAAATGTAAAATATCACCATGAGCCTTCTCCTGGTGAATGGAGTTTAGTGAATGATAATTGACTAGTTATAATATCTTTTTTTCTCAACTTACATTAAATATTCATGCTAGATCAAAACAGATCTTTTTAATACTGTTGAGAATATCATAAAACTTGACAATCATAATGCCCACTTGAGCTAAAACATGTAAATAACTGTCATTAATTTACAATACACAATGTTCAAAACTCAGCACTTATCAGCTGACATGTTACTGTTATTGCAATAAATGTATAACATACCGTAATATACCTAATTGGAGGTTTGGTGGCTTGTTTTATAAGTGTAACTAAATAGTGTTTTCACAATGATCATGGTATTGGGTCAACAGTAACTGGTGTCACACTGGAGCCAATTCTGTCAGGTTCATAGATCAAAGAAGTGTTGTCTTCTCAAGAAACATACTTCACAACAACTTATTAACACATCAACAGTCTGAAACTGAAACAGAAACCTCTACATGAAACTGACACATCACTACGGAACATGAACTTAATTTAGTTTTGTTTGTTTACACTTATGTGAGTGTATGAATCTGCCTAATCGATAGAACTGTTCTTCACTTGTCAGACAAGTACTTCCCACGTGTTTGCCACACAAGGGAAGTAACTCCTGTATGCTTAAGCGATCAGTTTGAAAAGTATGCAAACAGTGATCAAAACATGTTCGTTTCTACCAGAAGTGTGAACAAATAAATTTCTCCATAATTGTTAGTGCTCTTTTTATGAGAATTATTGAGTGTTCTGTGTCAAAAGTTCAAGATCTCATAGATTTTAACATTTTTTACTTCAGAAAGGAAAATATATGCCAATAAATGACATGTATTTTTTTTCTTTGTGTGTAGATAAATGGACCAGAAAACGATTAGCAGAGACAAATCGTGATTCACTTTCTGTAGAGACTACAGTACACATACTGCTTCGGGAGTCACTGGTCAGCTGTTAAAATAGATGAAACATCATTTGCAGTCTCACAATGTGTAGACAAACATAACGTGATTTTTTACAGCAGTAAGCTGGCAGAGAAGTGGTGCTCTCTTTCCCTTAACGCTGTACAAGTTGACATAATGACTTGTACTCCAGTACCTTATAGTTGTGAAGACACATACAGTTATTTCCATTTACTTTCAGTGGTAACAGTTTTCAGGTGTTTAACATTTGAGCAATAATATTTCTACTCAAGGTAGTCTGTAGTTCATGTTCTCATGGATGACCTGCAGTGTCTACACCGTGTACGTATCTTTTCATAGCCTGGGTCTCTGGATGACAACCAACCTGAATGTCCTATGAAGCAACTGCATGTTCATGATTCAAATTATCAGTTGAAATGAAACCTTATCAGTCCATGACTCCTGGCCCAAGTCCCACACTGTGATTATCACTGACATGTTTATTCATATGTCAAACCTTGTGAATCATAGTATCTGACTGACTGACTGAGTCTTGTCTTGAAAGGCTTGTGATTAATACTAGCTCACTCAATATTTCATATAAATCATTATTTGATTCCCTCACAACCTCACCCACCTAACTTTCTAATCAAAATTGAGTCAGTCTTGATTTTCTTGTCAGTAGAAAATAAATGCATCTAATCTATACATTCTTTGATTTATTTACATAAAATATAGTGTAATATCTTGCACTACTATTCTATGGCAATAATGTCTTTAATTCATGATACAAAGATTTGTTAGAATCAAATTATGGTGTGTAGGTGAATATTTTCATATTTTAAGGCAAAGAGAGGCAATCAACATTGCCCTGGATGGGATTTCTAGAAAGGTTAAAATTTGAAGGGGGTCGAAGATTCAAATACTTTAGGAGTACAATGTGTGAACCCCTTTTCTGGTGTCCCCCACTGCGATATTGCTTGAATAGTGCTAAAAGTGGCATAAAACTAAACTCACTCCAAAATGAGAACAGGAAACATTTGTTCCTCACCCTGCTTTGAGTAGTTCCTCCACTATGTCTGCATAGCCCCAGAATGATGCAATAGCCAGGGGACTCATGCCGTCAGGCGAGAGGCCGTTAACATTGGCTCCTTGCACAAGTAACTGATGAACTGACTGAAAATATGAACAAAGAACATCACATGGTACAACTGCTGCAATGGGTTACTTATTGTCAGCGGCTCAAAAGAAATATAGCTATTCAAATAAAACATGATGTGTGCATCTGTCACATGTAAATAAGTTTCGTATTTTTAATAGAACGGAAACACTGCTGATTTCAGCGTTCGAATTTAACATCGGTCCTTAGGCCTGAAGCTGACTGAAAACCCTTGGACCCACAACTTTTGTTTTCTGCAGGTCCGCAAGGCTGACAGCTTTTTCATCCCCAATGACTCTGACTGCTCTGACATATCCCTGTCTGAACATTCTGATTCAGACTTTTCAGAAGACTTGGATCTTGACATGAATGTTGATTTTGTTGTAAATGAAGACTAGTCAGTCACTTGAGTAAATTAAACTCTTTAACTCAGTTTGTTAGTTGTCACATTTTTTTGTTTGCTGGGAATTACTTATATTGTAGCTAAAATATGGGGTCTACACATTTTGATCAGGAGCCAGAACCTTTTAATTGGTTCTGGGTCCTTTGGCTTGCTTCTTTTCTGGGTTGAGGGCAAACACGGGGGCTGATTTCAAGAAGGGAGATAACTCTGGTTGCCTAATCATAGTGGCAGAAAGGGCCAACTTTGAAAACTGCTCGCTTGGTGTACTACTTCCAAAACACTGAAACCAGAACTAAACTATTTAGTTATTATGAAGCAAGCTGTATTAATGCTTAGAAACTAGTCACTTTAACAATGTTACATCACAAAACTCGGTCCTTATCTCATTCATATTCATGAGTTGTTCTTTTTACTGAAAAAGTTTCGGAAAAGTTAGGTGTCATCAGTCATAGGCACACCTTATATCCAAGTTTCATTCAAGTTTCCTGTTCATGTGGCCCTTGACTTTTATTATTAGATTGATGTATTATATTTGTAAAAAAACAGTGCTATTTCCTCTCCAAATTTGATTTGAAAATTGTTTGCACTGTAACTATTTTTGCAAAGCTCTGCTGTCAAATGAAGCTTCACAATTTGAAAATGTTGGTCTCCAAATGCAATAAAAAAGTGGGTCCACATTTAGAAATTGATTATGACAGCACCAGGCCAGCCCAGTAAAGCTCAGCGATATAGAAATGTGGGCCCTCATGTTTCAATCACTGAAAATGACAGGACAAATGTTGGCCAACACAACAGAAAATGACTATGATCACTACACCGAAGTATTAAAGAGGATGTTCACACCAGAATCTCATTCAGCATACTACAACTACTGACCTCAAAGGTGGACCCGTAATCTTTATTCACAAAAATCAAGTGAGTCCACATTTGGGGAAAAACTAATATTCATTTGTTCTGAATTTGATTAAGTGAGTGAGTGAGTTTAGTTCTACGCCGCACTCAGCAATATTCCAGCTATATGGCGGCATTTAATTAAGAATAATGTACTGATCAGATTCAAATTGTTTGACGTAAAATGAGGAGAATTTGTTTGCTGTTGCACTTAGAAGGGTGCCAACCCTTTCCTTGGTATCCAGCGTACCACTAGAATTGTCTTGATGTATGACTGAATAGCCAAGAGATGGGATGGGTTTCTTACTGTCAAAACGTAGGATCGTGTCTGGACTGTATTACCCCTATATCGCGACTCTCGGTAACATCTGGCTTATCAATGGGGGATGACACCCTCAGGGTTGATGTGTTATTGTCTACACTGTTGCCATCGTTAAAAAAAAGAAGTGATAAATACACCGCTTGTTAACAAATCAGACTTAGCGGCAGTCTTGAAATTGAGAAGATCTTTACAGCTACACCACGATACGATGCTAAAAATAGAGGTAGGTCATATGTTGCATAGTAATTCCCATGGAAACCAAAAGTCAGTTTATAGTTTCGAGTAATAAATAGAGCCTTGTCCAAATGTTACATGCTATTTTGTGACTCCTTTTCGAATAAATATAGCTATAAGGTAAATTCTGCAAGTAAAATATTTCGTTGGATACATGTTTTCATTGAATATTTACCGAAATATCACCGCTAGCCACGGCCCCAGCTAGTTGCATGGTCGTCGCCATTTTGTATGACGAAAAGTCACGTGACCCAATGACAACACCCAACATGTGCTCGCGGCTGAAAAACATGAACTCGCCGGGGGCAGCGTGTATATAAACTGAGTTTGATGTCATGGTGTGCAATCTTCTCTTGGATGTAGGAGAGGCATTTCACAGAGGAAACCACCTCACTGATTTCACGCCTGATGTACAATCATGGTGTTCAACAATAATATTGTGAAGAAACCGAGAGTTAAAGTTTCCAAATGGGCGGGGCAAATAGATGCTCTTCTGTGTGTTTTGACAGCGATCGTCGCCGGCGGGTGCTATCTTAATAGCTTGAATGGAGATTTCGTGCATGATGATATCTATGCAATTAAAAACAATCCTGATGTTAATGGACAGTCAGAATGGACGGAAATATTTACCAATGATTTTTGGGGCAGACCAATGCAGGACAACTCGAGCCATAAGTCGTACAGGCCATTGACAGTACTGACATTCAGGTAAGTCAACGGCGCGCGTAATAGAGAAGCGATGGGTACCTTTTGTGAAGTCTGTGTGCACACGAATCCTGCTGTGCGATTCATAGCAGGATAATGGCAGACAGAGATGAAAATACCACAGAAGGAGAATTAAACACTATCCGAAACACAAACGTTAAGCATTGTCTGTCGTCTGTAGGATATCCAATCCGCATCAGTCACAAATGACAGTTCAATTATCGTGATATATGGAACCTCTCCCATACGTGCTGAGTCTCAACTGATTTAGTTTATGACAGTATTGTTACTTAGAGAATACAGCGGTCAATCAAGAAAAAAGCTAGTAAACATCACATGTTGCAGAAACACTCTGCATAAACGTTATTTATTTCACACTTTCATCCGCTTTGACAGTATTTGATATGTTTTTTCAAAAGTGATTTCTATCCGAAGCAATTTGTATTGGGCCAAATTATTTTCCCAGAAAACCTGGATATGCATGTGCAGGATTAGGCAAATTTTTGCTGGAACCTTTAGCAAATGCCATTTAACATTTATCAGGCATTGAAATACTGAAATAGCCAATAATAGGATGAGGACAGTGTAGTCATTCCTTGTAACCAAACCTAGACAGACAGTTTAATCATCTGGACATCCAAGTGGCCAAGGTTTCTGCTGATTATTTTGCTTTAATCTGTGTCCTTGGTAAGACTCCTCCACTTTATGCATGCATCTGTTGTTGAAGCGATATTGATTTTTTTGAAAACCTGTAGGACAAGGTAATTCATTATTAGATGTTTTGGTTCAGTACTGTTGAAATTCCCAGGAATTGAAGAGTCTATGTAACAGGTGTTTCGCTGTGTATCCCATCTGTACAGAGGGCTCCTGATATTGGGTGATTATGCACAATATCGTTACTGATTAATTGTGTGTACCTGATGCTTATATGCAGCTTATCTAGAGCTCGGGGTGAATTTTCAATCTGAAAGTATTTCTAATCAAGCATCAGGGTAGTGAATGCATCAATGGTAGAGGCCATACAATTTCCAAGTCCTGTGATAGGGATTGAACAGTGATGAGTCACAGTGTTCTCCGTTACCTTAAGTGGCTTTTAACAAGTTGTAGTACTTCTTTATTCTTTCATTGTCTTTGTAATACCAGTTTGTTTAAGACTGAAGGGAAGCCAGACCAGTTGAGTGTCTTGTATTTTGGGTTTTAACTATGTGAGTGACACACATTTGTGGTGATGATCTTACCTCCTGTGCAATCAAAGTATGAAATGTAGTCAGAAAAATATTGTCAGTGATGAAATATGTAAAGTGAATTAAAAGAAAAGAATATAAGTTTAACTTACCTAAACATGCGATAATAATAGTATGAACTGAATCAGATAATTAATTAGTATAAAATGGCTTCCAGTGTTTCGTTTGTCATGCCAAGACCCGGGTTTGATTCCCGACATGGGTACAATATGTGAAGCTCATTTCAGATATCCCCTGCCATGATATTGCTGTGATAGTGGTGGAATATTGCTGTGATAGTGGTGGAATATTGCTGTGATAGTGGTGGAATATTGCTGTGATAGTGGTGGAATATTGCTGTGATAGTGGTGGAATATTGCTGTGATAGTGGTGGAATATTGCTGTGATAGTGGTGGAATATTGCTGTGATAGTGGTGGAATATTGCTGTGATAGTGGAATATTGCTGTGATAGTGGTGGAATATTGCTGTGGTATTGCTGGAATATTGCTGTGATAGTGGTGGAATATGCTGTGACAGTGGTGGAATATTGCTGTGATATTGCTGGAATATTGCTGTGATAGTGGTGGAATATTGCTGTGATAGTGGTGGAATATTGCTGTGATAGTGGTGGAATATTGCTGTGATAGAGGTGGAATATTGCTGTGATAGTGGTGGAATATTGCTGTGATAGTGGTGGAATATTGCTGTGATAGTGGTGGAATATTGCTGTGATAGTGGTGGAATATTGCTGTGATAGTGGTGGAATATTGCTGTGACAGTGGTGGAATAGTATTGCTGGAATATTGCTGTGATAGTGGTGGAATATTGCTGTGATAGTGGTGGAATATTGCTGTGATAGTGGTGGAATATTGCTGTGATAGTGGTGGAATATTGCTTTGATAGAGGTGGAATATTACTGTGATAGTGGTGGAATATTGCTTTGATAGAGGTGGAATATTACTGTGATAGTGGTGGAATATTGCTGTGATAGTGGTGGAATATTGCTTTGATAGAGGTGGAATATTGCTGTGATAGTGGTGGAATATGCTGTGACAGTGGTGGAATATTGCTGTGATAGTATTGCTGGAATATTGCTGTGATAGTGGTGGAATATTGCTGTGATAGTGGTGGAATATTGCTGTGATAGTGGTGGAATATTGCTGTGATGATAGTGGTGGAATATTGCTGTGATAGTGGTGGAATATTGCTGTGATAGTGGTGGAATATTGCTGTGATAGTGGTGGAATATTGCTGTGATAGTGGTGGAATATTGCTGTGATAGTGGTGGAATATTGCTGTGATAGTGGTGGAATATTGCTGTGATAGTGGTGGAATATTGCTTTGATAGAGGTGGAATATTGCTGTGATAGTGGTGGAATATTGCTGTGATAGTGGTGGAATATTGCTGTTGGTGATAGATAGTGGTGGAATATTGCTGTGATAGTGGTGGAATATTGCTGTGATAGTGGTGGAATATTGCTGTGATAGTGGTGGAATATTGCTGTGATAGTGGTGGAATATTGCTGTGATAGTGGTGGAATATTGCTGTGATAGTGGTGGAATATTACTGTGATAGTGGTGGAATATTGCTGTGATAGTGGTGGAATATTGCTGTGATAGTGGTGGAATATTGCTGTGATAGTGGTGGAATATTGCTGTGACAGTGGTGGAATATTGCTGTGGTATAGTGGTGGAATATTGCTGTGATAGTGGTGGAATATTGCTGTGATAGTGGTGGAATATTGCTGTGATAGTGGTGGAATATTGCTGTGATAGTGGTGGAATATTGCTGTGATAGTGGTGGAATATTGCTGTGATAGTGGTGGAATATTGCTGTGATAGTGGTGGAATATTGCTGTGATAGTGGTGGAATATTGCTGTGATAGTGGTGGAATATTGCTGTGATAGTGGTGGAATATTGCTGTGATAGTGGTGGAATATTGCTGTGATAGTGGTGGAATATTGCTGTGATAGTGGTGGAATATTGCTGTGATAGTGGTGGAATATTGCTGTGATAGTGGTGGAATATTGCTGAAAGTGGTGTAGAACTAATCTCACTCTCACTAATTTCACAACATAATACCAGTTAATTGGCCCACACAAACAAGCTCCATCACCCCCAGTTACTGCTGGTTGTTAATCAGGGCAACCAATAAGGCCTCCAGTGTGGTTCTGTAACAAGTGTACAATGGTTTGTCAGGGGCTGGTGTTAATACCCCTTTAATGACCTACCAGTTTGTTACTGTGTAGGCATGGTGTGTTGGATGTTATCACGGTCCTCACTTGTCAGCGCTGATATGGATAACATCAGTATCTACTTCCAAGCAGTCAGCAGTATATTTAAATCATATTATCCTAATTGCAGGGGTGGAAATAACTTTAAAATTGCTAGTGTACTCTGGTACAGTGGCATATGTAAAATCACTTGCCCTGATAATTTTTCCACTATACCTGCCGTTTTCTTGTTGATTTTTTGAATAAACAACATAATTAACATTGGAATATCAACTGGACACCGGTACAGTGTGATATACAAATTTGCTTGCCCGACAGATAAAAACACTGGACTCGGGCGTTGGGGCAATGGGTTATTTCCACCCCTGAATTGGTTATTTGAATGACAGTATTGAAATTGTTTGCAAGAGTTTTATTCATAGGAAACTTGTCAACCTTTGGGTGTTGAATGAATCTGGTTTGTTTTTGGCTGGCCTTTGTTACCTGGGAGCCATCTTTAATGCAAGTGATAAATTACAGGTTGCCTACATAAGGATTAGCGCAACACCTATTTTGTTTATTCTGTTAAACAGAAATTAAGTTAGCCGACATCACAACTACAGTTATTGTTCAAGTGAGAAAATCTAAATGTATGTGTGATAATAAATTACTAAATCAAAACATCAAATATGTGTTTGAAGTATTGTTGGTCTTTGAAATATTTCATCTGAAAGTTGGAGCCATTGAAAGTTTCAGAAGTTTTTACATCAATCACTACAGTCCAGTCAGTAGAGATGTCCGCCATATACTAGTAGTCGGAATACTGCTGAGTGCAGTGTTAAACCAACAGCAACGACAGTAGAGATGTCCGCCATATAGTCGGAATACTGCTGAGTGCAGTGTTAAACCAACAGCAACAACAGTAGAGATGTCCGCCATATACTAGTTAGTCGGAATACTGCTGGGTGCAGTGTTAAACCAACAGCAACGACAGTAGAGGTGTTAGATGATCACTTGAATCTTTAAAGGGATATATATAAACATGCTAAGAATCCAATATTGGTCCCAAAACTGCAGTTAAAAATAGTCTGGTTGAGATATATATAAATTAATGTGAAGCTATAGCAAATTGACTTGTATTCTGTAACAACAGGACCAAGAGGAAAAGGCTTTAAATGCTCAAGATAATTTTAAATAACAATTGTTTCCTAATTTTCCTGCCAAGGGTATCGAGTTAAGAATCTTTGATAAACCTGTACTTGATGGCTGGTTGGCATGACAATTGAGTGTGAGGTGGGACCTTGACCGCTGTGTACAAGGGACGTTCATGAAATATGACACAAACTAAACAAAATTCGACACGGCTCTTTGGCAAGTGACACGACCTCCTAATGATATCTGTTTGTCCACCACACGCTGGTCAGCAGAACCTCCTCACTTCCCTATGTCATTGTAAACTTGGCATGTTAGAAGGGATTACATCAAATATTTCCTGTGCAAGGTGTAATATATGATGTGGATACTTGCACTTGGAACTGAATAAGCAAAAACCATCTTTATTCATG